TACTGCTTGTAAACGATAAGGACCAACTAATAACAAACGGTATGACAAAAGAGACGACCTTCCTTATGTATAGCGTATACTCAGTATTTCATTATCATCTGCATATCATGGCATTTGTGCTTCCTAACTTACTCAATACCCAAAAGTATGTTCTAAGTAAGATAAGGCTACTGAAAAATACTTCAGCAAGTCAAAGTTATGTATACAGAGCTAGATTTCAACAGTCTCTTTTAAAGCACGGACACTTGACGTTTTCAATTTTTCTTTACATAAAAATTCCATTATTATGATAAATGTGATGACTAAACGTTTCAATTAACTTCCGGCAATGGTGACGTCTCCATATCAGTGAAATATTCTGGAGAGGGACGTTAAACGGTATACAATCAATCAATCAATCAATCAATCATTAACTTCCATTACTTATGCAGCAGTATATACCTTTGTCACATGCATACGGATTTTATATCTCTCAGATGGTTTGATACAGAAGAGCATGTTCTACGTAAGAATAGTGTCTTAAACGAGGATCCGGTAAGTTATTCACAAAAAAGTTGATGAAGCAAGTAGGCCTATATCAGCCGTCTCGTTTGAAGTCAACATTTCGCAAGTTTTATGGTTGATACAATGACGTTGTCAGCACTTACAACTTATTATTATTAAGTCAAATACTGACTGACTTTTTCCTGCTGACTGTTAGGCCATGTATTATTTACACAATGAGATGTCAAATGATTTTTTTCATTACTTACCGATTATGACAAGGAGCACATGGCGGCTGTGACCGGTCGGCAGAGGATGTTCACTCCTCTATAGCAAACTATCCCACCTCTGATGTCTTGGAGGTTCGTGTTTGCTCTGCTCGTATTTTGTAAATGTATAATGGACTCTAAAAATGGCGATTTTTAAAATTTATTTAACGAAAGGTAAAAGGCATTAAGTACCTGTGCTTTAAAGTCAGGAGCAATACATAGGGAGAGCGTCCCCTGACGACCAATCACAACCACCGCTTGTCCTCTTGTTATGATCGAGAAAAACGGGAAAAAAATGTAGAAAATTCAGTGTGTAAATGATAGCCTAATAATTAGTTTGAAAAACGCAAGTCAGAATTTTTCTTAATGACTACATTTGCTGAAAATGTTATTGTATTAACCATGCATAGGTATGAACCCCGTATATGCGGATGATAAGGGTATATTGCTGCATGTACCATTTGTACGTAAGGAAAGTTGAAGATTGTACTCGTTTCACAAAATATATCATGTAATGGAATGAATGGAGATGTTGAAGCATGCATCTGATACCAGCTAGCTGTAACCAAAGTACACACATGCCTCATAGCTACTGCACTGTCCATAGCGTTTTATAATCGATATTTATTTGGTATATATATAAACATTTTTTTCCTGTATTTATTTTTTTTATTGTTTCTTATTTTTTTTAATAAGAAGCAAAAACATGCTCCAGGTAACAACAAAGCAAACAAATGTTTACTTTTTCCGTGTGAGCGGTTTTTATAGCGCCATGTAAACTAATCAATTATAAATACTTATAATATATAATGTGTAGGAAGCTATTGATCACAAATTTCATGTCTGACAGGTGGAACATATCTCTCTTTTTATACTACATAAAATAAATTCTAAAAGTAAAATCTGTCTTTGCTTTCAATTTGGAGGAGTAGGCGGTCGGCGGATCTGGTCGGGTGATCGTCGGGGGTAACATCTTATTGTCGGGGCACAGTCACCCGTGCAGAGCAACTGGATCTTTAAATACATTGTGTGTATTTTCTTTCCACCTATTAGGCTATTACATTATTTTCACAGCGCAGTAAAATCATAATTGCCGTTCGCTGAACATGAACGACATTCTAAGCCTGTAACTGGTTCGGGTAGTCTGTGGGATAGGAAAAGATTTACGGAAGGAAAATATGTATTCCTCAAATTCTCAGGTAAGTTAATTTACATCATTTTCCTCCTGTAATTGATACATTTCCTGCTAACATTTAAAGAAAATTTACTTCCTGTTTGGCCATATTTTGAACTGTTCTGAGTCCATCTTCTCTCTCATCTCCAGGACCAGCCGACAGCTTCGGATTCCCGTTTTGACACGAACAGGAAGCGGACGGCAGTGGACATGATGGCACGAGATAAACTTTTCCAGTGGACGGAATGTCGGGTTTGGATAAACTCCGCAATCGTGGCCGACATCATGGACACCCAAAAGCCTGGCGACAAGCCCCACCCTCCAGCCCCCACATCGGAACGTAGTGCCGTCACTACTTTTTTGAGGGACCCAAAGAAAGAGAAGACAGGGGGCCTTCTGAAGCAGAAGTATTGTGAGTCAATGATCGGTCTACAGGGAAGCTCTTACTTTGTGTTTGGGATACCAAGAGTAAAAAGGGTTGTGAAAGATTTGAAAGAAGATTTAGAATTAAACACAGAAAACAATCCCAATCGCAAGGAAACTCCAGAAAGAACGGATTTTCCTTCAGAGACTCGAAAGGACAGGTCCAGAGAAAGTCCAGACGACAACAAACTTGGAGAAAGTCGATACAACATCAAACTTGGAGAAAGTCGAAAAGACTATAAACTTGGAGAGAGTAGATATGACTACAAACTTGGAGAAAGTCGAAGTGACTACAAACTTGGAGAGAGTCGAAGTGACTTCAAACTTGGAGAAAGTCGAACTGACTACAAACTTGGAGAGAGTCGATATAACTACAAATTTGGAGAAAGTCGAAGTGACAACAAATTTGAAGACAATGGGAATGACAGACTAGGAGACACAAGGAACAACCGATTGAAGGAAAGTCAGAACCGGATGGGAGAGTCTAGGAACGGCAGACTCGGGGAGACTTTGGACGTCAGCCGGAGAGACGGCAGTAGACAGGATCGGGAGAGTGAACCTCCAGACAGTTTCCGATCCTCAAGCAGACGACAAGACGACTTCAAACCAATCCCTCTGGGACAAAGCGGGGCGTACGACTTCAGCAGCAGTTACCGACAAGACCTCCGTGAGAGCAGACGACCCCGCCCAGAACCAAGGGAGCCCGAGGAGCCAAACCTGTACTCCTCCAGACGACCCCGCCCAGAACCCAGGGAGCCTGAGGAGCCAAACCTATACTCCTCCAGAGTGGTACCAGATCGGAGAGCAGACGACAGGGGGGTGTACTCATCACGGGTGTTACCAGACCCTCCTCCTTATGGCGCCAGAGTTCTGCCTGACCGACCACCACCCGACACGAGGGAGCGATACGACGATATACAGAGCTGGATGCCTGACAATCAACCCCCAAAATCACCCAGATCTAGATACGACTACCCCCTCCCTCCCCCACCCTCACACCTTCAGGCTAGCGGCAGGTACACAAGCGTGATAAGAAAATAGGTCTCTTTTATGCTTGGGAGCTTAGATATTAAATACTAAGGTATAAAATATGTTTATCCACATAATACTTGAGTAATTATTAAAGAATTTTATTCCTATTTATTTCAATCATATCAGTAAACTTGTTTAAAAGACTTCTGAAATCCATGACAAGGTTTAATGAAATTCTATAGGAGGCAACGTGACCCCATTCACAAGAACATTATTAAGATGTGTTATAGATTCCACTTTGCTGGGTATTGTGTAAGTCCGCGTGACCGAATCAAGCTTTATATAGAGTGCAATATAAATATCTATAGATTTATCTAATTGTACATTCCATATGTATACATATTTGTATTTTTGTTAACTCAAGAGTTTTTATATGTTTTATACAACACTCCTAACTCAGATATTATATGAATTATTTCTGTAGCTTACTAACATACTGTAGATCAATCCACAAAAACTTTTTTAAAACGTTTGTTTTGTGTAACAGTGATCATTGGTAATGATGTATACGTTTAATTGTGTTTCTTGTAAACGTATCTACGCTATCAAATCTACGTTCATAGAAATTACAGATATTATTTAAGATGAATTTAAATGGTAACTTTCCTTACTCTCTTTCTGAGAAGGAAATCTTCCAAAATTATGTCAAGTTTGTTTTACATTTTTAATATTCCTTAAACATGTTAAAACAAAATAAATTTGAATTATCATACCTTAACTGGATTCAGAAACTTCATAAAAATTCTTACATAGAAAGATGCAAAGTGGTTTTCAATACATGTTTACCAAGCTTCTTTCTTTATGCCTCACTTAAACAGTTGTGAAGGAGAAACTTCACTAGTACTGTGAAACAATATAAGTGTTGTAAATTAGCTCAACTCAAAATAATATAAAGTTTACCAAAACCCGTGAAAATCTATATACAATCAAGTTTTGCGATAAATTAAAATCCAGTTAACAGTTGTTTTTGCAATAAAAATGGAATTTACTCACCTTTAATTGTAATTGGCAACATTATTTTGTCAAAAACATTCTGATTGTTAATGCAGGTACCCTTAACTTGAAGTTGGTAGCAAGCTCGAGTTTCTGATTGACAATATCTGGACAATATCTTTGTTTTTTTAAAAGGTCTTCCAAGAATTTGTTGGAAATCAATGGATACCAATTGCACCCCGTCATTAGCAGATCTGTTTTTGTTTTCATATGAAACATAATTTATTCAAAACTTTATACATGAGAGGACGACAACACTTGCTGTGGGCTTCAAATCGACATGATTGACGAGGTCCAGATTCTTTGTTCAGGTCGTGGATATATTCTTCTTATTAGCAGCCTGGCCTGGGGTGATCTTTAGGCCCAAAGTGGGTAGCCCTTTTGGAGATCAAGAGGAGAATTTTTCAACCAATCAGAATTAAGTATATACGACGGCCGTTCAAACATTATGCGGACTTGTTGCACTGGAAATTTTTTGACGACATAATCGGGCAAAATGTCACACATAATATAAATTAAAACATTTCTGTGACGTCATCTTTTGTTAAACCTGGTTCAATAAATTTGTTATTGTCCTGCACCCCGTCCAATAAGTTACGTGTAGGTGCCCAATAAGTTTCAACTTAATTGGACAGGTACAGGTAACGTTAAAATGAGAACAAAAAGCGAGGCAAATAAGTAAACAGCACTTAAAAGGCAATTTTTAAATATGAACAATGTAGGAAATAAGTAGCGTTAAATGTTACTATTTCATAAAAAAAATTCTTTTGAAAATGGCACAAAAAATCCAGTGACTTGAATGTCTCAGATTCATTATTGTAGACGCATCCGTGGCTCCGATCATAAAGTTCCTGAATTCACCATTCATTGCTATATAATAGATTCATTTCCCAATGCTTGATTCACGGAACATAATATAGAATCCAATGAACACAAAGAATGAATGAGAAGAATCCGTTTTCTTACACACAACCTTGGGCTTTTTGTTTATTGAAATATCCATTTTTCCGCATTTAGCACTAAATTTCGCTCAAGAAATTCCAACAGAATCTGTAATTTCGTTCAGTGATTTATTACCATTTGTCCACCTAGTCCTGTGTCGTTTGAGCGAGTGTCTGTCGTTGTTTTAAGGAGTGGCTGGGGTAAAATCCTTCTGAGTTCAAAACTTGCACACAAAAGAGAAAGTGTTTTGCATTTAAAAAAAACACAGCAGAAATAATCTCCCAATTTCAAAGAAAATGCTTAAACAGTTGTAGGAGTAAAATCCTTCAAATCCTATCGCTTTACAAAAATTACATGTTAACGGGAAACTCCGAAACATAAGAATATGTATCCGGATTTCATAGTATGATAGTAAAAACTTGAACTGAGGATTTCTTGGTGTAATCGATAAATGGCATCGTCAAAACACCCGATTCTGAAGGTATTTTTTTCAAAATCAAAACGCACGTTGTCATCCGTGGTCGTTGCGTTGTAAAATGAATAAATTGTCAAAAATTTAGTAGAACTGACTTTTACGCATGTGTAGTATAGATAAAAATGTCGCAATGCGGACAAATAAGACTAAACAAAGTTAATGTTCATATTTATCGATAAAAAAACACCTCTCGATGATTCGTACTATTAATAAAATCAGAAGAAAAACCAAAAACTGGTTTTCTTTGGCCTAACTTGATGAACAGTGCCAGGTAGTCATCCAAGCAGAACGAGACCTTACCTGGGGCTGTCCAATAAGGGCGACTTCGATTCATACCCGAGTATTAACTCTAGGTTGACGTCACATGACCGGATGTTTACACAAACATGTGGTTTTCAAGCGAACTCATCTGAGTTTGAAGGGTAGCGAAAATAAAATAAATTTCCTCTATGGGTTTTAAAAGGAGGTCGAATAGGTCCATTTTGACATCATCTGTTGAGTTAATTTTTTCTATAGCTTTTGCTGCAGCTGATTTTTTTTTCTTTTTCAGCTCTGAACTTTTTCGCTTTCGAATTTGAATTTATGTATCTGCTGTTATCGAGCAGTAAGCCAGAAAAATCTAATCAAATAAACATATATTAATATAAATTATAAAGCGTTCATGTAGAAAGTGCGTTTCGAAGTTTGCTGTTAAGGATAAGCGATGCTAAACATAATATTTAGTAAAAAATAATTTCTACGTTCGGGGTTTTCTTTCGACGCCGCCATATCGAAACTCTAGTAATCCTACTGTATGGCTGGGTTAGCTTGGGTAGAGTTCATAAGGTCATATGACGTATTTTGAGTAGTAACTATGGTACTAAACTAATTGTCCCTTTTAGGTCTAGGTCAACTTTGGACAGAAGATAATTTTAAACAACAGATCTTATCTCATTATAAAACAACGACTGTTAGATGTTTCTAAGCAAGCTATAATAGAAAATATATCAAACTCTTCAAAGTGTAATTTGTATCAACATTTAATTGACAATTTCTGTTTGCAATGGTATTTAACAAAACCTATTGACAAAAAATTAAGACAACTACTAACAAAATTCAGGTTATCGAATCACACGTTAAATATTGAAACAGGTCGACACCATAACGTACCTAAGAAAAATAGATTATGTACATGTTGTAATCTCCATGATATAGAAGATGAATTTCATTTTATTTTGAAATGTCCATTGTATATTGATATAAGAAAGAAATTTTTGAAAAAGTATTATTATACTAGGCCTAGTGTCTTTAAATTAATTCAGCTGTTAAGTTCAAATAATATTAAAGATCTCGTAAATTTGGGTAAATTTTTGAATGAAGCAATATTGTTAAGAAAAAATAAAATTGATGTATAGAATTATTCCCATGTATGTGTACTTTACGTTCACTCTCTCTGTATGTTTTTTTCTTTTTGTTATTATCATGTTTGTAATGTTGTATTACTCTGATGGGCCAGTTGGCTTAAAGAAATAAAGAAACTGAAACTGAAACTGGTCGTTCAGATTGAAACTCAAGTAACTCGAGTACGTACTCGGGTATGAATCGAAGTCGCCCTAAATTAACAATCGAAGTGTTCGACAATAGTGAAATGTTTTAAGTAAGTTATAAGCCTCAAACTGACCATTATGTCAGATATTAGACTCTCCTCGGCGCTAACGCGCCTCGAGTCGTCTAATATCTGACATAATGGACAGTTTTCGTCTTATAACCATTACAGAATCTTTTCTTATTTAGTCTTCAAAATTTCATATCAAAATGTTGTAAATTGGTATTAATTTTGAGTGATTTTTCAGGATATACCTCTAAGTCAAGGAGCAGCAAAATCTTCGACCTCACAGGCATTATAAAAAATGTAATTGAGTCTTCATTTTCTCAACATTTTCCCAAGAGTTTTTGTACAGTTTGAGTTACCTAATTAATCTACTCAACATCCAAACACCATTTCTTGTAAAGCTTAAAATCTATTGAACAAGTAAAGATTTTTCTCTGTTTTTGTTTTAAAACCAAAAACTGCAGGTATTTATGAGACATAGTGTGATATTTGTGACTCTCAATCACGTTCTTTACAGTCCGGATAATTTTTTCGTCGATAATCTCGTCCTCCCGTATAGGCTTTTTACAGGGGTCTAACGGTCTAAAATTTCATTTTGCTATTTGTTGACGAATGTCACGAGTAGCCTAGTTTTATAACAACATGTTTATTATGCACATTTTGAATCTATGTCTGGCAATATCTCACGCATTACACAAAAGTATGGTGCGCCGTCAATTCAGGAGACGTCATTTTCACCGCATCGGATAAAAATTATCGTCAAGGGTCCTAATTCGGTGGGGTTCCTAAATCGGTGGTATTTCCTGTTGGGCACGCGCGTTTTCTTATAGAGCGAGATCTGACGTCATCGATTTTTGCGTAGTGTTTGTAAACACAAAGGCTTATGACACTGTGAAAAAAAACTCGAAATGTCAAGGAAAAGTGTAAGTAAATACCTGTTATTGTCACATTAACGTAAAATACCATATTTTCTTAATGCTAAAAATATCTAAATGTAATTACCTTCTAAATATAGATTTTTAAGCAATGATAAATCGAGATACATACTGTAGACGCAGCTTACCGTCTGCGCCTTCAAGTCACGTGACTGTCATGTGGCTACCATAATTAAGTAGAAATACAGAGGATGTCCAAAAGTTAGTGTCCGTTATATGTTTTTGAGTGTTTTGACAAATATAGTTGTCTTGGTTTATTGTTAGAAATTAAACAATTACATAGAAATTAATTCAGAAATCTAAAGAAAGCTAGTAAAGTATATATAGTATCATGTAGAATGAATGAATGAATAAATAAATAAACAAATAAATAAATAAATAAATAAATAAATAAATAAATAAATTAAATAAATAAATAAATAAATAAATAAATAAATAAATAAATAAATAAATAAATAAATAAATAAATAAATATTTTATTTCTTTATAGATTGCATCAGATAAAATAACAAAAAAATACAGACCCTACTCCCCAACGTCTATGACGAATGCCTATCATGCAATTAAGGAGCATCGAATGTCTGTATGGAAAGCAGCTAGGGTATACTGTGTTCCGGAAACCACACTTAGACAAAGAGCATTAGGGAGAGTTGACCCTGAAAAATTAACATCTGGAGTTTCTCCCATTCTTTCCCAAGAGGAAGAAGCTGCATTGGTTGAACATTTAAAGGTAATGGCCAGTTGTGGGTACGGATACACCAGAACAGAAGTGGTAAACATGGCCTCAGAATATGCCTGCAGTTTGCAGAAACGTGATAGAGATCATCCGTTTTCAATGAAATGGTTCAAGGGCTTTATGCAGCGGTGGCCAGAACTTAACGTTTCAAAGCCTCGAGCATTATCGGCTGCCAGGGCAAAGTCAACTTCGGAAGAAGTAGTCTCAAATTACTATCGTGAATTAGAAACCATTCTTAAGAAGTACGACCTAGTCGATAAACCTCAGTGCATATACAACATAGATGAAAAGGGGCTACAAACAGAACACAGACCACCCTGTATTGTGGGTTCTAAGATGTCAACAACACCTGCTATAACATCGCCCAGATCTTCTACAGTAACTGTCATAGGTTGTGGCAATGCGTTAGGCACACAGATGCCTCCGTATTTCATTTTCCAAGGGGCTCGAATGAGACAGGAATTGATGGATGGTGCAACGGAGGGTGCTCAAGGCACAGTGACAGACAGTGGTTGGTCGAACTCTGCAGTCTTTCAGACTTACTTATCTGAACATTTTCTTAAATATGTTCAAAGACCAAATGAAAACCAACCCATCCTCATTCTTTACGATGGACACAAATCACACATCAATCTAACGCTTGTTGACTGGGCAAAGCGACACAATATTGTTTTATTTGTTCTCCCTGCCCATACCAGCCATGTACTACAACCTCTTGACCTTGGATGTTTCGGCCCATTTCAAAAAATCTATAATGCAGAATGCCATAAATTTTTACGCGAAAATCCATCTTCAAAAATTACAAGATATAATATTTGCTCGTTAGCTTGTAAAGCTTATGCGCATGCGCTTTCACAAGGAAATTTGCAGTCCTCATTCCGGCGCGCTGGAATTTTTCCATTGGATAAAAATGCAGTGGACCATTCAAATTTTGCACCATCTGTAGTTTTTTCCACAGCAGAAAAATGTCCAGATCAAGATGCAACTTCTTCAACTTCTTCAACTTCTTCAACTCAAGCAAATTCAAGCACAATATCGGATCCTAAATCATTCTTTAAAGTACACACAAATCCTATTTTGAACAAAACAAAATCTGTTCTAGCTGAAAGAAGAAACATTAGCAAAGTTGTAAGTGGTAAACCAATTACAGAAGACGGTGTTGTGCAAGAAATGAAAAATTACTCTGAAACAAAACAAACGTCAAAAAGAAAAGAAAAAACTACTTCAAGATGTTCTACAAGTAAGGAATTATGTGGAAAGAAAAGAAAACACAGCATTTCTGAATCCTCTGATATCGATGATACAGAGGATGAAAAAGAGAAATGCTGTGTTTGTCAACACTTTTGGCCAGAGGAGATTAAGGAATGTGACTTAGTGGTTTTTGTAAAGTGGGCTCAGTGTAGCTTTGGAAACTGTAACCATTGGACCCACTTGCAGTTTTGCTGTAAAACAAGAGTAATAAGACGTGGAGATGAATTTATTTGTCCCTGTCACAATAAATAAAACTCTAATAAAATTATAATTTATCTCTTTTTTCATTAGTACAATTTAATATTCGTCAAACATAAGTTTATGTCCGTGGTTAGTGCTATAAGGGTAAAAACTTTTGACAAGTACCATACCACCGATTTAGGTACCTCAACAGTTTTGCTTACGTAAACAACAAGGAATTAAGAAATCGCGAGAAAAACAAATTAAAGTTTTTTAAATTAGGTAATATGGATATAATTGATTAAATAGAGAGTCCTTAAGAGGTAAGTCACATTTGTTTTATTTTCAGCGATCTTTTTAAGATTATTTTATCACGTAGTTTGCTAATACCACCGAAATAGGTTCCTCGAGGATACTATTTTTCTGCTAGTACTTCAAATATCATGTCAGAAATCTAAATACATAATAAAAGAACAATTTAAAGATACATTTGAGAAATTGTCGAAAAATATCGCGAATTATAGAAAATTAATGAGTTAAATTTTGGATTCCGCACGATTTTGCTTCAAATTTTTGGTTGTGCTCCGTACCTCTCGATATCGACATACCGATAATTTCGTAATTTTTTTTTAATACAGAAATTTTGCCTAAACTTTATTGAAATCTTTAAGATACATATCTCTGTGAAATTTCATAACTATATGACGTCTGTAAGAGTAAATAATAGCACAGTCCGCGTAATTTCTGAACGGCCCTCGTATATATTACAGAAATAAAATGATAACATCAATATGTACAATTTTTTATCCAATCAGAATCCAGTATTGTATAGAAATTAATGATTTTCTGATCATGACAAGGAGCATACGGCGGGTGTGACCGGACAGCAGGGGATGCTCACTCCTACATGGCACCTGATCCCACCTCTGATGTTTCGGGGGTCCGTGTTTGGTCTGGCTCCTATTTTGTTTTATGGATGTTGAGATTAAATATTGTTGATTATCTCTACACCCTTCTTCTTTTGGTTTTAATTCATCAAGTATTTAATATATTCTGCCTTTATCAAAGCTTGCCAGGTTTCAATTTCAATCTATGACAGCTTTTTGTAGACCACAAACAAATTATTACATATAAATGCATTTCTTACACATGTTAAATGTTCATTGCTCAGAAATCTATCTCTTACATTTAATTTGGCTGCTATAAATGCTATTCAATGATTTTTATCTTCAATTACACAAAAAGGTAAAATAGGACAAAACGAAAGTAGATGGATTTTTCCTTACTAAATATAGCACCTGGAACTTTTCAACATGGACTCCATTAGAGACTCACAAAATTATCTAATGTAAGTTATAATGAATAATGAAGAAGTGTATGACGTATAACAAAATGCTTACAATATCTGAATCAGTTTCTTTTTTTTAATAAACTAATAACCTTTAAATGATTGAAACCTGTAGGTAAACAGTAAACAGTAGGCCTATGGGCCACAACACTGACCTCTAATCCAATTAGCGCCTCCTATTTGACAATTGATTTCCCTGAAAGTGTTTGATTACATATCAATCCCATCTTAGACCTAGGCATTATGATTTCAACTAATTTAAATTGACAATACATGAAGATACGAGTGCTGTCTGATAAGTTCGTGAGAGCAAAAATTTAAATAAAAATGGTGTTATTTGATATTTATTGTCAACATAATTTCTTTAAACTAAAATATATGTTAAAATACGATTACAAAATGTGTAATATTCTGTTCAATTTCAAATAGAGAATATTAATTACAATTTAATTAAAGCTTCATTTTTAAACTTGGAATGGTGATTCAGAGCACCTCAGAATATTTCAATTAAAAATTTAATTATCACTTTATTAATTGCAATTGTATTTTGCAAAATTCAGCATAAATTCTGATTACTTTTACATTATAAGGTTGAAAAAAACTTTAAACATGCAAATTTGACAGTTCAGAGTTTAGAAATAAATGAGATATTGAGGCAAGATTCTACCAAGACAGGATCGGCATATTTCGAAAAAGGTGTCCAGAGCAGAGAGCAGTGATAAAATTCTGTGTGGATATCGGAATAACACTAACAGAGACCCATAAATGCCGTCAACAGTTGGAAAATATAGTAAAGGAATGCGCTCTTAAGTATTTCAGTGCATAAAAGTTTTTAACGGCAGGAACAGTTTACAGGATATATGCGTGAAGGAAGACTATCATTCCGAGATTAATTAATTTTGTAACATGACATATTACATTGCCGTATTTTCTTAAATAACGTCGTCTTTGCGCGGACAAAGGTTTAATAATTTTGAGGATCTCGGTGTGTGTTAAGTATTATTTGACCTGTGAAATCTGAACAGTTTACAGTACACATTTATTTTTTAGACTACTTAATTTTTTTTCATATCTGATAAGAATATAACTATTTGTGATTTTTTTGGTTTAAAATTTGCATAATTTAATGAAAATAATAGTTTCATATACATGTATTTTATTAATGTTTGTCAGTAAACATCAATTTTCTCATCGAACTTTAGGAACAACACTCGTATATTTCAAAACAGTATCAGCATGAATATGTCATGACTATATGATATGCTATTCTGGAGCTGAGAATTGTTTGGTCAATGTTTTCTCAAATTATCCTTAATCATTCTCAGGAAGACAGCCCTACAACACATATCGGAGTCAGTCTTTGTAGGACTGTGCCGTAAACTGGGAAACTCACAAATGGTGGCCATGAGGAGAGATGTGATGGACATAAAGGAAATAGTAGAAAATCAAGCGAGAACAAGTGATGGGTTCAGTATGATGGTGAGTGGAAGTCGAAGAGAAGGGTTTAGACTGAAAGGATCTGATGTGGACAGTATGAACTGGCCAAATAATCACCATGTGATCTGGGAATTATCTCAGTCTCAGTATTATAACACACACAGACAAACATTGATCCTCTGTGACTGTTCTGAAAGTCCACCAGGATTTACTTTGTTATGTTTACTGTCACCAAGCATGGACAGAAATATCCAGACAGCTTGTGTAAGCATTAATAACAGACATTATATATCTAGTTCTAAATACAGACAGATCACGTGTTCTGAATCATTTACAGAGAAAACTCAACATGGACCCTGTGCAAGTGGAACATATCTCAGATTAGTAGAGTATGATGAAGCCTACTGTTTTGTTAGTGACTTTTGGCCTCCATCCGCCTCCTCATGGATAGACAGATGTCACTCGTGGCCCCAGCCTCATGTTGTTGATGATGTTGTGAAAAATGGATGTCACTTTGTACCAATTGGACACAAGCTAGGAAGACATGAAATCCACGAATGGAGAATTTCTTTCTCTCTAGCAGAACAAAAACTAGTGAATTCAATGAACCATTGTCAATTCTTAACTTATGGATTGCTTAAATTGTTGTTAACAGAAATAATTAACAATGGACTGGATGAGGATGATAAATTACTGTGTTCTTATCACATGAAGACAGCAGTCTTCTGGGTGATTCAACAAAATACAATACCTCACTGGTGTCCACAAAATCTCCTGGGATGTTTCTGGGTCTGTTTTAAACTCATCCTTAAATGGGTGTATGAGGGGGTCTGTCCTAACTTTTTTATTCCAGACAACAACATGTTTCTGAGTAAAATTCATGGTGACAAACAACATCAATTATATATTAGACTGTATGGGTTGTATGAGAAGGGTTTAGCATTCCTGCTACACAGTCCCTCCATTAGGTCTTATTTTATAAATGTCCTTCATAACCCCAGACTCTCCATCTGTACAGATGAACATACTCTGATTTCTGAGACTAAGTTTGACAGAAATCTATACATTGAAATAATAATTTATAACATGTTAATCAAAAAGGGCATACATAGCTGTATGAGATATCTAAATGCAATAGAACAGATCATAAGTTCATATCTACTGACTCAGTATCAAGTCTTAATGCTACAGAAACTGGCAAATAATGTTTTTTGTGAAATTGCTTTTAAATTACACATGAAAACATACACAAATAACAACCAACTGAGGTATAGAGTTGACAAAATCTCCCGCTACATGCTGAAATTAGCAGCCAAGTTTGGTTGTATTTCTGACATGCTATACATAGCCATGTATTATTACAAGACACTTAGATACATGGAAGCTTTATCTATTATAGAGATGATCAAAATAAAGTTAGCACAGCCATATGTGATGTATGTGTATAATGTAGATACAGAGATGTATATTGAGGCAGTAGGGGGACAGTCCTGGTCTGCAAAGATGAGACAGGCTGTAGCATGGGATATCATACTTGACAATAGAATCCATTGCATCAGTGAGCTGATACTTGAACAACGGACTGCTATACAGAACAAGAGGATTACATTACATGTTCCACAATTCATACTGTTATACATGCTAGAGATCTTGTGCTACAGACATGTAGACACAATGAGAGTACTAGCAGCTCTAGATGATCTACAGACCCTAGTTCACTATGATCAGGGACAGTTTATACCTTTACATCTCAGAGATATATCGTGGCAGATTCTGGGGATCTGTCAACAGGTGACAGGGAACCTCCAGGCTGCTCTATACTCATACAGACAATCTCTCAGACAAGTACCATCCAACATGATACACACAGCTACACAAATGAGAATCGAGCAAATAGAGCAACTTCTTTAAGATGACTTAATTAGTAAAATAAATGTCGAACATTTATTAAAGATACCTGTTCGAGTTAACATCCTTGTATTTTTCATTTCATAGTCCCTGACTGATTCTTTAATTCAAAATAAGAGGTAAATGGATATCCAAGTTCATCTGAGTCTCCTTAGCTCTGCTGTTCTTCAGCAGATTTTTGGAAAGATTTATCACATCTTTATTCCAATGAAAATGGTTGGACTCCTATGGAGATACCATAATATCATTGTTTAATGTGGCTTTGATGTATTATGGAGATTTTTTTGAATTTTTGTACCTGTTAACAAATCTGGACATTAAAATTTGACCTGAATTTATTTCCAACTTCAATCTTTTTTGCCTATGAATTACAAATAAATAAATTTATTACTTCAAATAAACGAATTTCAATGTTACTTTCAAGAAGTTTTTGCTTTAGAAAATAGGGAACAATTTTTACTAAATTCACATTTTGCATCAGTCAGCAAGGCAGATAATTTTAAGGGGCCGTCTAGGGATTTATTGAGTGAAAACTACAATAGATACTCTTCTTTTTTTTTTTTATAAAATATACCTTTTAAACTCACATTGACTTCAGCATGCATGCCGAGATTGGGAAAAATCTACCACCTATGTATTTTTAAGGGACCCTCTAAAAATAAAGGCATATTTAGTATAGGAATAAACTGTAAACCAAATTTTATTCGCATGCAAGAATTTTTACGCGAGTTTCACGAGAGTCTCATCACTGAGAATATTTTTAGCCAAGAATCAATACTGTACGTTTCTGTGTGTTTATGCCTGTCCACTTCTCTATAGTGTCTGATGTATATCTCTGTCAACTTCTCCAGAGTGACTAATGTTTATCCCTGTCCACCTCTCTAGAGTGTCTGATGTATATCTCTGTCCACTTCTCTAGAGTGACTGATGTATATCACTGTCCACTTCTCTAAGGTGTCTGATGTATATCACTGTCCACTTCTCTAGAGTGACTGATAAATATCCCTGTCCACTTCTCTAGAATGTCTGATGTTTATCCCTGTCCACTTCTCTAGAGTGACTGATGTATATCACTGTCCACTTCTCTAGGGTGTCTGATGTTTATCCCTGTCCACTTCTCTAGAGTGACTGATGTATATCACTGTCCACTTCTCTAGGGTGTCTGATGTATATCACTGTCCACTTCTCTAGAGTGACTGATGTATATCCCTGTCCACTTCTCTAGAGTGTCTGATGTATATTTCTGTCCACTTCTCTAAAGTGTCTGATGTTAATCCCTGTCCACTTCTCTAGAGTGTCTGATGTATATCTTTGTCCACTTTTCTAGAGTGTCTCATGTATATCACTGTCCACTTCTCTAGAGTGTCTGATGTATATCCCTGTCCATCTGATGTATATCTCTGTCCACTTCTCTAGAGTGTTTGATGTATATTTCTGTCCACTTCTCTAAAATGTCTGATGTTTATCCCTGTCCACTTCTCTAGAGTATCTGATGTATATCCATGTCCACCTCCCTAGAGTATCCGATGTATATATCTGTCCACTTCTCTAGAGTGTCTGATGTATAGCTCTGTCGACATCTCTAGAGTGTTTGATATTCATCCTGTCCACTTCTCCGGAGTGTCTGATGTATATTTCTGTCCATTTCTCTAGAGTGACTAATGTTTATCCCTGTCCACCTCTCTAGAGTGTCTGATGTATATCCCTGTCCACTTCTCCAGAGTGACTAATGTTTATCCCTGTCAACTTTTCTAGAGTGTCTGATGTATATCCCTGTCCACTTCTCTAGAGTGTCTGATGTATATCTCTGTCCACTTCTCTAGAGTGTCTGATGTTCATCCTGTCCACTTCAACTGAGTGTCTGATGTATATCCCTGTCCACTTCTCCAGAGTGACTAATGTTTATCCCTGTCCACTTCTTTAGAGTGTCTGATGTATATCCCTGTCCACCTCTCTTGAGTGTCTGATGTTTATCCCTGTCCACCTCTCTAGAGTGTCTGATGTATATCTCTGTCCACTTCTCTAGAGTGTCTGATGTATATCTCTGTCCATTTCTCTAGAGTGTCTGATTTATATCACTGTCCACTTCTCTAGAGTGACTAATGTTTATCCCTGTCCACCTCTCTAGAGTGTCTGATGTATATCTCTTTCCACTTCTCTAGAGTGACTGATGTATATCACTGTCCACTTCTCTAAGGTGTCTGATGTATATCACTGTCCACTTCTCTAGAGTGACTGATGTATATCCCTGTCCACTTCTCTAGAATGTCTGATGTTTATCCCTGTCCACTTCTCTAGAGTGACTGATGTATATCACTGTCCACTTCTCTAGGGTGTCTGATGTTTATCCCTGTCCACTTCTCTAGAGTGACTGATGTATATCACTGTCCACTTCTCTAGGGTGTCTGATGTATATCACTGTCCACTTCTCTAGAGTGACTGATGTATATCACTGTCCACTTCTCTAGAGTGTCTAATGTATAATTATCACTGTCCACTTCTCTAGAGTGACTAATGTTTATCCCTGTCCACCTCTCTAGAGTGTCTGATGTATATCACTGTCCACTTCTCTAGAGTGTTTGATGTATAGCACTGTCCACTTCTCTAGAGTGTCTGATGTATATCTCTGTCCACTTCTCTAGAGTGTCTGATGTATATCTCTGTCCACTTCTCTAGAGTGTCTAATGTATAATTATCACTGTCCACTTCTCTAGAGTGTCTGATGTATATCTCTGTCCACTTCTCTAGGGTGTCTGATGTATATTTCTATCCTCTTCTCTAGAGTGACTAATGTATATCTCTGTCCACCTCTCTAGAGTGTCTGATGTAGATTTCTGTTCTTTTCTCTAGAGTGTCTGATGTATATCTCTGCCCACTTCTCTAGAGTGTCTGATGTATATGCCTGTCCACTTCTCTAGAGTGACTGATGTATATCACTGTCCACCTCTCTAGAGTGACTGATGTATATCTCTGTCCACTTCTCTAGAGTGACTGACGAATATCCCTGTCATCTTCTCTAGAGTGACTGATGTATATCACTGTCAACCTCTCCAGAGTGACTGATGTATATCTCTGTCCACTTCTCCAGAGTGACTGGCGTATATCCCTGTCAACTTCTCTATAGTGACTGATGTATATCACTGTCCACCTCTCTTGAGTGACTGATGTATATTTCTGTCCACTTCTCTAGAGTGTCTGATGTATATCTCTGTCCACTTCTCTAGAGTGTCTGATGTATATCACTGTCCACTTCTCTAGAGTGACTGATGTATATCACTGTCCACCTCTCTAGAGTGTCTGATGTATATCTCTGTAAACTTCTCTAGAGTGTCTGATGTATATCTCTGTAAACCTCTCTAGAGTGTCTGATGTATATCTCTGTCCACTTCTCTAGAGTGTCTGATGTATATCTCTGTAAACTTCTCTAGAGTGTCTGATGTATATCTCTGTAAACCTCTCTAGAGTGTCTGATGTATATCTCTGTCCACTTCTCTAGAGTGTCTGATGTATATCTCTGTCCACCTCTCTAGAGTGTCTGAAGTATATGCCTGTCCACTTCTCTAGAGTGACTGATGTATATCACTGTCCACCTCTCTAGAGTGACTGATGTATATCTCTGTCCACTTCTCTAGAGTGACTGACGAATATCCCTGTCATCTTCTCTAGAGTGACTGATGTATATCACTGTCAACCTCTCCAGAGTGACTGATGTATATCTCTGTCCACTTCTCCAGAGTGACTGGCGTATATCCCTGTCAACTTCTCTATAGTGACTGATGTATATCACTGTCCACCTCTCTTGAGTGACTGATGTATATTTCTGTCCACTTCTCTAGAGTGTCTGATGTATATCTCTGTCCACTTCTCTAGAGTGTCTGATGTATATCACTGTCCACTTCTCTAGAGTGACTGATGTATATCACTGTCCACCTCTCTAGAGTGACTGATGTACCGTATGAGTAGAATTTTTAGCGAGGATTTAATTTTGGCATTATTAGCGAGGGTGTCGAGATCGCTAAAATTGAATATCGCTAAAAATTAAATGCGTATTATTTGTAATAGCTTCTTCAGTGTGAATTTTAAAATCGCTAAAATAACATCTCGCTAAAAATAATTACCAGCTTTTAAGGACAAATCGCTAAATTTGCGTCTCGCTAAAATTTCTACTTATACGGTATATCTCTGTCCACTTCTCTAGAGTGACTGACGTATATCCCTGTCAACTTCTCTACAGTGTCTGATGTATATCTCTGTCCACCTCTCTAGAGTGTCTGATGTATATTTCTGTCCTCTTCTCTAGAGTGTCTGATGTATATCCTTCTCCACTTTTCTAGAGTGTCTGATGTATATCACTGTCCACCTCTCTAGAGTGTCTGATGTATATCCCTGTCCACTTCTCTAGAGTGTCTGATGTATATCTCTGTCAACTTCTCTAAAGTGTCTGATGTATATCTCTTCCCACTTTTCTTGAGTTACTAATGTTTATCCCTGTCCACTTTTCTAGAGTGACTGATGTATATCCCTGTCCACACTTCTCTAGAGTGTCTGATTATATATCTCTGTCCACCTCTCTAGAGTGTCTGATGTATATCTCTGTCCACTTCTCTAGAGTGTCTGATGTATATCTCTGTCCACTTCTCTAGAGTGTCTGATGTATATCTCTGTCCACTTCTCTAGAGGGTCTGATGTATATCTCTGTCCACTTCTCTAGAGTAACTGATGTATATCACTGTCCACCTCTCTAGAGTTTCAGATGTATATTTCTGTCCTTTTCTCTAGAGTGTCTGATGTATATCCCTGTCCACTTCTCTAGAGTGTCGGATGTATATCTCTGTCCACTTCTCTAAAGTATCTGATGTATATCTCTGCCGACTTCTCTTGAGTTACTAATGTTTATCCTTGTCCACTTTCCTAGAGTGACTGATGTATATCCCTGTCAACTTCTCTAGAGTGTCTGATGTATATCACTGTCCACTTCTCTAGAGTGACTGATGTATATCATTGTCCACTTCTCTAGAGTGACTGATGTATATTTCTGTCCACTTCTCTAGAGTGACTGATGTATATCTCTGTCCACTTCTCTAGAGTGACTGATGTATATTTCTGTCCACTTCTCTAGAGTGACTGATGTATATCTCTGTCCACTTCTCTAGAGTGACTGATGTATATCTCTGTCCACTTCTCTAGAGTGACTGATGTATATCTCTGTCCACTTCTTTAGAGTGACTGATGTATATCACTGTCCATTTCTCTAATGTGACTGATGTAAATTCCTGTTCACTTCTCTAGAGTGTCTGATGTATATCCCTGTCCACTTCCCTAATGTTACCGATGTATATCTCTGTCCACTTCTCTAGAGTGGCTGATTTATATCCCTGTCCACTTCTCTAGAGTGTCTGATGTATATCTCTGTCCACTTCTCTAGAGTGTCTGATGTTTATCCCTGTCCACTTCTCTAGAGTGTCTGATTTATATCACTGTCCACTTCTCTAGGGTGTCTGATTTATATCCCTGTCCACTTCTCTAGAGTGACTGATGTATATCCCTGTCCATTTCCCTAGTGTTACCGATGTATGTCTCTGTCCACTTCTCTAGAGTGACTGATGTTTATCCCTGTCCACTTCTCTACAGTGTCTGATTTATATCCCTGTCCACTTCTTTATAGTGTCTGATTTATATCCCTGTCCACTTCTCTAGAGTGTCTAATGTATATCCCTGTCCACTTCTCTAGAGTGACTGATGTGTATCTCTGTCAACTTCTCTATAGTGACTATGTATATTTCTGTCCACTTCTCTAGAGTGACTGATTTATATCCCTGTCCACTTCTCTAGAGTGACTGATTTATATCCCTGTCCACTTCTCTAGAGTGTCTGATGTATATCTCTGTCCACCTCTCTAGAGTGTCTGATGTATATCTCTGCCCACTTCTCTAGAGTGACTGATGTATATCTCTGTCCACTTATCTAGAGTGGTGATGTATATCTCTGTCAACTCCTTTAGAGTTTATGATGTATCCCTGTCCACTTCTCTAGACTGACTGTTGTATATCTCTGTCCACTTTACTATAGTGGTGATGTATATCTCTGTTCACTTCTCTAGAGTGTCTGATGTATATCCCTGTCCACTTCTCTAGAGTGGTGACGTATATCTCTGTCCACTTCTTTAGAGTTTCTGATGTATCTCTGTCCACTTCTCTTTCAAATGTCTGATGTATACTTCCTGTCTATTGCTCTTTCAAGTGTCTAATGTATATTCCTTTCCACTTCTCTTGGGTGGCTGATATATATCGTTTTCCACTTCTCTTAACTGGATTTTGGCAACGCACTTTGAAAAAATTAGGGTCTCCACACACAGTACCTTTAGTTCTGACCTTACCTTGTGAAGATCTTTAGGCTGGAACATCCTTCTGCTCCAATGTTCATCATTTTTTAAAAAATTAAATTCTCAACATTGATTTTCACCAACAATAAATATTACGTCAAACCATTTAAGGGTCGATTGGGGTTTTGTTGTGTGAAAATACAATTGCGAAACAATTCATTTTCAGACCATATATAACTTACATTTACTTAAGTGTACATGCAATGTTTGGGGAAAACCTATCGTCCGGGTATTTTTAAGGGACCTTCTCAAAATACTGCAGTACAGGTACTTTACTAAAGGATTATATAGGAAAATGCCCATTTTAGCACTTGAAAGCAAATTCTTCAAATACTACAAGAGACTTTTTGTTCAAACTATAATATTTGATGAGTGATAGTATATTATACAATAAATGTAAGAAACACAAAATTCTACCGTCTTGTTACCAGAGGGGACATCTCAAAATGCCAAAAAATGAACGAATATTCTTGTTTATACAGAGAACTACTAAATATTACGGGCACAAAGGATTCATTGAAAACATAATAAAATAATGGAGATATTCTCAAATTTCTATGTTTTAAATTTCGAGAGCGTATGTTTATTATGGATATGGAGATAACATACAGTATTCTATATATAAGTCCAAAAAACAATACAAAAAAGGAGCAGAGTAAACACGGACCTCCGAAACATCAGAGGTGGGATCAGGTGCCATGGAGGAGTGAACATCCCCTGCCGACCGGTCACACCCACCATGTGTTCCTTGTCATAATCGGGAAATAACGCGAAAATCCGTCGTCAATTTAGTGTATAAATAATGGACTTACAATTAGTATGAAAAATGTCAGTCAGCATTTGACTCAATGATAAATTATATTTGCTGACAAAGTCATTGTATCGACCATAAAACTTGCAAAATGGTGACTTTAAAGAGACTGCTGATATTCTTCTTTCATCAACTTGTTTGTCAATAAATTACCTCGTTTTAGAAATTGTTTATTCATAGAGCATGCTCTTGCGTATCGAATCAACTGAAATATATGAACTCTGTATGCAGGTGATGAGAGTATATTGCTGCATAAGTAATGGAAGTTGAAGATAGAAAAGTAATAATCATGGCGTTAATCAAAGAGTTTGGTTGTTAGATTACCATTTACGGCCTTTTTCAAATAAAATATCCAAGTTTGAAACATGTGTTGGACTGTGTGGTATCTTTTATCTCAAGCTCACCAGGATCTATCGCATCGACATATGAATGGAAATCTATTTTTTTTTTCAAACTGTACTTGCTAGTAGTTTGAATGAGGATTAAGGAATGGTATGGAGATAATGAACAGTATTCAATTTAAAAGTTCGTAAAACAATACAAAACAGGAGCAGAGCAAACACGGACCTCCAACACATCAGAGGTGGAATCAGGTGCCAGGGAGGAGTGAACATCCCCTGCCGACAGGTCACACCCGCCGTGTGCCCCTTGTCATGATTGGGAAATATTGAAAACATTCGTCGTCAATAGCATGAAAAACATCAGTCAGCATTTGACTTATTGTATTTGCTGTTAAGGTCATTGTATCGACCTTAGAATTTATGAAATGATGACTTTAAACGAGACTGCTGATATTCTTGTTTCATCAACTTGCTTGTCAATAATTTACCTCGTTTTAGAATTTCTTCATATGTTGAGCTCTTGAGTAACAAATCAACTGAGATATATAAACTCCGTTTACAGGTGATGAAGGTATATTTCTGCATAAGTAAGGAAAGTTTGCTAATTTTAAATTTATGTCTACGCCCATTTAAATCTACATTACCTGTAGATTTTTCTGTCCCAATATGACTAATAATAACTTTGAAATTCATCCTCTTTTTTTTTTTGATCCCCCAACTATTCAATTTTTTACTCATTATTATCTCCCCTTGCAAAATTGAATCCTCTTGATTTACAGAGATGCAAGACTGGCTGACTTTTAAGAAGAGGAATACTTAACAACAGAAACAGATTAGAGAATTGACTACATGCATCTCTAACACACAGGCGCTTGACATTTTTAATTTTTCTCTTTAAAAATTTATAAAATCCCCAATAACATAATGATAACAATGGGGATTTTTTTATTCATGAAGAGAAAGTTAAATATGTTAAACCCTGTGCTTTAACATTAGGTTAATGCATATATGAAACACACAAGACATAATTAAAAATGTTGATTTATTGAAATGAATTTTATCTCTATACATGTATAAAAAGATGATCTACATAAAATTTTAGTCTAGGACTTAAAAAGCAGAAGTCTCTGATCGGACTGCAGCTCTACAGTCTGGACTTAAAAATAGCAACATAAGCAATAAAATTGGACAACCTTGCACAGACACATAATCTGTCTTCATAAAAGTATAATCTTTTTAAGATAAACAGTGTCAGAGAGTCATATCATTTATATAAATAAAGCATTCAGCAAATAAAAAAAAAATCTTAACAAACCTTATCTAGCTATGTAGCATTTTGCAAAAACATTTTCTCTGCATCCATTAAAACATGACTTAAAATGCCAATGAGATTAAACATCAAATTAGAAATGGAGTCCCTATAGCTGCCATTATAATCTCTCAGCCCGGGAGATGTAAGGTGTGACAATCTGATCCCATCACATGGCAACCGACTTCAGTACAAAAAGGTCAGAGACACACGACCTTAAAATTATCTGCTGGCAGAAAGTCTCTTTATATAATGTCAGATGAAACAAATTAAATATGACACATGAAACATGATTTTTATGCCACATACACGTTAATTTATTGCAATATTTCCTATAGTCTGTCAAAGTGACCAGTGGGTCCGCTGTCTTTATCGTCCTTCAAAAGCAAAAAAGGAGACGCAAAGGCAGGCAGGAGAGGACTGGAGACGTAATAGGCACTGATAACTGGCTATACCTGTACAGAGGTTAACGAACACCGAAATCTAACCTACAACAAGAAGGTCATAGGTTAACATAAAAATCTAACCTACAATGTATTGGTCAGAGGTTACCTTCAAAATCTAAGCTACATAATGAAGGTAAGCTATTTAAGATACATTATTTCTAACATAAAAATCTAACCTACAATGTATAGGTCAGAGGTTAACTTCAAGATCTAAGCTACATAATGAAGGTAAGCTATTTAAGATACATTATTTTCTGTGAAGCATCCTACATGCACAGACATATTCAACTTATTTAGTACCTTTAATAAAATAAAACTTGTTTGATTTAACTAGTACTCTTAACAAAATAAAGTGTGCTTGATTTCACTAAAACTTTTTATGAAACAGAGGGCATTTAAATCACCTTTAATAAAAGAGACTTTGATTTTTTAAGTTGTACCTTTAAGACAAGAATACAATGTGATTGACTTACCTAGTACCTTCCGTCCACTTCCTCCATCTGCCTCATACACTCAATCCTCTCCACGGACAGGTCAGGGTTCATCTCCGTCACCGACTTAATGGCCTCCGCTAGCAGCTGTCATAAAATAGTTAAAGTTAATACAACAGGAGTATGAGTATTAGTACGAGAGATTTACAAAAAGGGCATGATGAACAGAAATATCAAGTTATAATCCCTAAGAAATTACTACGAGATTAATCAATCAGCTTTTGTTCCTAGAGAGCTGTTAAGAATTATTTGGGAAGGGGAGAATTAAGAGGTAATTTATTTCCTTTGTTTTCTTTCATAGCCTTTGATGAACTTACTGCGTCGTGGTCAATATCATCCCCGTTTTCTTCCTGAGAAATCACAACCTTTTTCTCCACTCGGGTTTCAGTTTTACCGTCTCTCTCTGTCTTGTACTGAAAACAAAAAACATCTACATCAAATACTGGTAATTGTGATCCTAGGAAACAATCTCATTTTTTTTTTAAATTTTAAATGTTAATGTTGCAGAATACAATTTTAATTCAAAAGCGAAGATTAGTATATGATTAAAATGATACATTTTATAATACATATATTAATTATTTCTAGCACTGTTATATGAAATCTTGAAGTTAATCAGACACAGTATGAAAAAACACTGAGTACTCCACAGTGAAGAGAGTGCACATGTACTGAGTACAGGACTAATTGAGTGCACATGTACTGAGTACAGGACTAATTATTTAGCTACCTATTACTCTGCCATGCTGTGATTTTATTCAGGGTGAAACAGTACATGCTTCTAATGTGCTCCTGATACAAATCTCCACAAACAATTAGGATAATGGACAGACTGACAAAATGGGCTGCTTCATTTTGCTTTCAGTTGGCTTGAATTGCTTTTATTAAATGTACGCTTTTTTCATGAGATGTTTAAATATATCAAATATTAAAGATATTTAAATATAAAAATACAAGATCAAAGCGAAATATTAATAACCAAATAAAATCTAAAGCAGGGACTACCTAGATGTACAAATCTGAAACAGAACAAAAGAGAGAAAAAGAAAAATAAAGACTGCTTTTGTTAAGAACTGTAATTATGAGGGAGGGGGACTGATGGCTACACAGAATACCATGCAGAATGTCACATGCTGAGAACACACACTGCTGCCCCCCGGACTGAAAGCAGAGCCAGGGCTAAAGTTACACTCACTGTAGTGGTCTCAATGGTCTGAGTTCTGGTGGAGTGAGACTGGGAGCTGATGAGGATCCCGTCCTCAATCTCCAGCGGCACCCCGTCCTTCTCGTAGGTCACCGTCCGGGTCTGTGTTTTGACAATCGGGACGTTGGTGGTGGGAATCGGCCGGTCGTCCATGTTGGGGTCATACCTCATTCTTTCTGTGGTCACTGTCGGGGGCTAAATGGGAAAATGATCCCTGACTACATAACCACCAGTAGGATGTATACACATATCATATATACACAGCATGGACATACCCAGTACATCAGTGAACCAGTCTCAGTGCTTTACATAATCTGTCCATGCAGTCTCACACACTACTTACCATGTCTGACAGGCTATCGTCTGTGCTGTTCCTGTACTTCTTAGGGGCCACAGGCGGGGGCTTCTTCTTCCCTAGAGTTCCCTCCCCTTCCCCATCAGATGTGGATCCCACGGGTTCAAAGAAAGGCATCAGGTGGTCTCCCTTCTGGCGGTCACGCACCTCCTAATCATAATAAATTAGTAAATGTATATAATCCAACTATAAATTACATTTACAACTTACTTTCCATGTTTCAGCCATTCACAAATTGAGTTTATCTTGCATTATACCTCATTTTCTAAACAATTTTTATTATGATCATCATGATATTGTAAATGAAGATCCTTTTTAGTATAGAAATTCTTAGAAAACTTAGATTTAAAGCCAGACTGTGTCTTTTCTTTATAACTATACAGTCAGTGTTAATCTTGTACTATCTTATCTACTTACGGTGGTGGGAGGGGTGACAGCAATAAACTGCATTTTCCTGTCTATGGACTTGTCGCTGTAGTCCGGGTGAGTTCCGTCCAATCCCAGACCACCCTGTTGTAACGACAAAACACATGACATTCAGAACGGGCTCAACAACAAGTCACAAAGCTCAGAAAGATAAAAATCATCAATAGAATAAAATTACATGTAAAGCAACAGAATCGCACATGCTGTGAAAGCAAGACTGAGATATCCTGTAAAGTTTCATAGTTAGTCAACTAAATACAGTTTCATTATAATACTTTGCTATCTGTCATATAAAATTGTGGTTTATATTAGGACTATATTGTATAGTTTTACAAATTCTGTTATTTCCTGTTTACAGTTTACCTGATAAGATTAAACTGATAATCATTGTAAAATAATTGGCTATAAAGCAGATAAGCAACTTAGAAACAACTAATGTTCCATGTAAATTCTGTACCAATTTACAAAACCTTGCAAAAATTAAGTCTTACAAATAACTTATTGTAACAATTCAAATACAAGAAAAATGAATTTATACATATCTTTTTCATAACCATAAAACATTCAAAGCAAAACATTCGGAAAAAAAAAAAATAAATACAGACATCTGACACATACATTGTAAAAGTAGAAAAAATATGAATGAAATATAGAGGAGAAATGAGGCCATGAAAGGAAGAGAGGGACATGCAATCAGCCAATCGCTGGTAGTCAAACCTCATCCAGGTCATCGTCGAGAATGGCATGATGGGATACGTCTTCATCAGAAGAAGAGGATGAAGGTGAGGAGGTGGTAGCTGGGGGCTCCTCGGGCTGAAGTAAAGGACGATCCTTAATTTGGTGGTTAATTAGTATCAATGATTAATTACGATGAAATTCTACCAAATGTTAAAGCAGTCATACAACATAAAACAAAATGCAAATTATCATCAACAAACAGTTACACCTTTACTTTAGGGTGTTTACATTGTTTAGAAACTAAAAATGAGCTGTTCAACATTTTTTTTTTACAAATCAACAAAAGAAAAAACTGAGTGCCAATTTAGGAATGTGAATCATTTTGCTATTGGATGCAGGTTACCTTCAATTCTAAAGCCCCCATATAAGACTTTAGAGGTATAACTATCAAGTAAAACAGAGCAGCTACTAATGTTATATGTTTCTACTAACAATGCCACAAGTGACAATAAATCTCCTATAACACATCTCTGATGCTTAGTAGTACATGTACATGTAAACTTTGGTGACATATCCCATTCTTGGTGGTCAATATGAACTGAGATGACACCTCTGTGTACTAAGGGACTCTCAATTAACAGTTATGCTTTGATAAGTCCATGCTGTAACATGCTAGCTGACCTTAGCTTTTCGGTCCTTTAACTCATTCATCCCGGGCAGTGCCCAGCCCATCCCCACGCCTCCTTTCTGAAAGGCAAGTCCTCACAAGGTCAACGTCACACACAACAAATAATAGTAATATACTGGTACATGATAAAAGTCATCAATTATAAAGTAACTTTTTACACTTCTCGTTTTGTTCTTTCATACATGTGTAGCATTTTATCATTATAAACATTATATACATTTTTCAGTTCATGCTTCAGCTGTATTGTTGATGTTAATGAAATGGTAGATGGAGGATTCAATCTCCATATGATGATCTGAATATTCTCATGCAGATGAGGACTATTTATTCATATGCAAAATGACAGTTGAGGAGAGAATGTGCAAGTTAGATTAAGGGAAAGACAAGGAAAGAAATAATGTCCAATGACAAGGTGAGAAACGACCAATTCATGGCAAGGAGAGAATATGGATTATAAATTATTGACAACTTTGTGCAACATACCTAGAAACATCAGTAGAATTACTCAAGTACAAGCTTTAACCATTCTAATCTAATTCAATGTCAGTTATGAACAGGAAAGGTTCATGTAATGACACAGCAGACATCAAATGAAACGTGAGAGATCTGTTATATCTGAGGTTCTATATTAGAGGAAATAAAATGCATTTAAGCAGACTCTTACATGATTTCCTATACTACGAGATGAGACAGGATGATCTGTTTGTTAATATGACAGAGCCTACTAACTCAGTACGACAGTGAGAGTTAGCCGTGTTTTAAGTCATGCCGTGAGTGACGTGAGTGACACATGCCCAGCATACAATGAGGGGGCACCTGTCTGGGAGGAGTCTTCACTTCTGGTTCCTCCGGGGGCACCTCCTAAAGTGAACATCAGACATCATTACTTACTTGGTACACATGATAAACTGACATTAATTTCATTAATTTCAGCTGTATACAGCTCTATACAGTACCGGTTCCTGAGTTTCCTTTTGTTCATTCTGCCACGGCTCTGTGGGAAGTTCTATCCTTGCTGCCTCATTCTCATCATCAGACGATTTGTGATGTCTAACAAAACTAAAGCACCCTGTAGTGGACTTTTTCTTGGAGTCTGACTTTTTCTTGGTAAGGGATTTTTTCTTCTTTGATTTTTTGTTTTTCTGGTCCTCTTTTTCCTCCTGTTTTTCCTTCACACCTTCCTCTTTCTTTCTTTCCTTTGTTTTGTCCTCCTGGTCTTTTGATTTATCATCATACACTTCCTGCCCTAACAAACTAGTGTCGGTATTACTCTTTGGTAAAACCTTAATTTTCACACTGACGTCTTTTGAGTGTTCGCCACTCTCTGTTTTTGTCACAGTCTTTGTTTCCTCCACTATCTCCTTTTTTGTCTCTGTTTCCTTCCCTTCCTCCTCAGAAGGAACAGCCTCACTCTTTGTCTGATTCTCCTGTTTTTCTTCCACTTTCTCTTTTGCACTTTTCTTCCTCTTTGCTTCTAATTTTTCCTTTTTCTTTCTCTCTTTTTCTTCCTTTTCCTTCCTTTTTTTCTCTGCTTGATCCTGTTTCTTCTTTTCCTTTTCCTCCTGCTTTTTCCTTTTTTCCTCCTCCTTCTGTCTCTTCTTTTCCTCTTTACTGACGTCCACTGTTTTTTTCTCCTCAGCCTTTGAGGTGTCACCTGTGTCCTCATTGCCTGCCTCCTCATTCGTGAGGATCACACATACTTCGGGAGGCGATTCAGCCTCCTTACATACCTCCTCTGTCCTCTTTGACTTTTCCTCCGACTTATTCTCACCTGATTTATCACTGTTTACTGGAGTAACAACACAGCTTATTATTTCTGTTTTAGAGATCTCTGTGACAGTGCTATCTGACGATGGTTTATCCTTCACTTCAACATTCACCTCGACCTTGTTCTCCTTCACTATGACCTCATCTTTGAGTTCTACTTTAGAACTCTGCTCTCCTTTATTGTGCGTTTCCTCTTTTTGAGTAGCAGACTGAGTGTTGTTTTCTACCACATTGACATTCACTTCCTTAACACAAGCCTTGTCCTCACGTTTACTAGAATCCCCTGCACTCGGGATGTCCTCCTCAATAATAGTGTTTGAGCCCTGACCGTGAGTTGGAGAGGATGGGGTGATGACTTCTTCCTCTATAACTCTAGACCTTCTGTGTTCCAGCATCACCTCTCCCTCATCACTACTGGAGGAAGAAGAGGAGGAACTCTTCCTCTCGTTCCACTTCACTTCACTCACTAACTTAGCGTTCGACTCGATGACGGGTTTAACAGAGTCTGACTCCGCGAACACCTCGTCCTCTATATTCTCCTCAGGAACAAGGCCAGACTTTTGTTTTATGTCTTTTTTCTCACTTTTAATTTCCTGAGGAAATAAAGAGAAATTTCAGTAAAATCATTTTCTTTTTTCTTCAGACAGTCAATAAACACATGCAAAAGAGCAAGGTTTTTCCATCATTTTTTCTCCATGCTATACTTCTCTAGATGAATTATCTCAGCTCATGCAGGAGTTAAAGAGACCTTGACAGTAGACCCTGTATGAATGGAAGGCCTTATTCATGCACAGTCTGGTCTTTGTTTCATTCCTGGAATGTTCATCCTTCTTCATGCAAGGGTTATTACAACTGGAGAAAAATGGACTTCCAAAGGCAGACAATGTGTAGACTATACATTGTTAATAACATGCAAAACTGCTTGATAAATTCTGTGCTGAACTGTCAGCTGTTGAAGATACATCATTGCAGGTTAACTTCTGGTGCCCAATCAATCATTCTCTGTTAGAATGTACACATAGTTTCATTCCAAATAGAGATATTAGGGAAAAAAGATTATTACATCACAAGTTTTAACACCACAAAGACACACATGGAGCATAAAACATACATGTACATTTACTCTATACAAAAAATAAAAATCTATTCATTAAAATTTGAACCTTGAGACAATTTTTGGTTACATATTAAGTGCTAAAAAGAAATGTTTGATAAAAGCAACGTGGAACCACTGCATTCATCATGTTCATGCAAAAAATTAAAAATAAGAGATGTAAGCAGCATTCGTAGAGGCAAGCCCACCAGCATTGGGGGGTCCGAGACCACACCAAGGGCTTAAGCTGGGGGGCACCTGTAGATAACATCTGGGTTATGATTATATCATACAGGGTGTACCATAATACTTATACAGGGTGTTCCATAATACTTTATACAGGGTGTACCATAATAACCTCTATAATGTGCTATATCTAACTCTACAAGCATTTCTGGGATTAGAAACCAAGCATGTTGCTTATGATTGTGACTGATAACCTGGTTATATTTGTCTGTGGTTCTGTCTGTTGGTGAGTCCTTGTTGTTTATTTCAGTCTCCGTGGACTTGTGTTTGTCGCCTTTCCCTTTCGATGGCGTTTTCTTTAACATGCCAAACAACCCTCCCCCCTTTTTATGTTCTTTCTTATCCTTAAGCTTGTCATGATGGGCCTTGTCATGTTTAACATGTTCAAGGTCCTCTGCCTCTTTGGGGGCCGTTTTAAGGGCAGTTTCGTCGCCTCCAGGTTTCGGGGCATTCTCATTATTGCCTTCCTTTCCAAGTACAACAGCATCCTGTTTACATTTACAAAAGTGAATAAAGAAACTCAACATTAAAGACAGGTAATGGACATACTCAAAGAAATCAGGAGACCTCTCTTCCTAAGATCCTAATGGGAAAAATGTGCATTTCCTTACAATAGCAAGAACATCAAAATGTAAATAAACAGAACTCTCTATTGTGAATCACACAAAACATGAGTCGCGTGTTAGAAGCTTCTTACCGAATCTAGTCCCATTGTACCAGAGGTTCCATTGATGGCCGTCTCCACAGCATGATGGTCTCCCTAGAAACACAAAGTATTTATTTTAATTTAATTTAACTCACTCTAGTGTTATGCTCACTTATTATATATCGTACTTGCTCAGTTCCAAAACAATGATGCTATGAGAATAATAATTACAAGTGTGAAAAAAAAAAACAAAAGCCATCAAACTGTTAAGTTTAATTTCTTTTAGAACAATCAGATAGAACTATTTATTCCTCCTCACCATTTTTCAGAACAATCAGATAGAAGTATTTTTTCCAGCTCACCATTTTATCGGTCCTGTCCTCTGCATGGTCTTTATGTTTCTTCTTTTCTTTCTCCAGTCTTTTCCGTTCTTTCTCCTCTTCCTTCTTTCTCTGTTCCTCCTCCTTCTTTCTCTGTTTTTCTTCTTCTTTCTCTCTTTTCTCTCTCTCCTTGTCCTCCTTGGATTTCTTGCCCCCGTGAAGCGCCCCACCCCCTTCTAACGTTGCAGCATCCCCGCCCTCCCCAGGCACACCCTCAGTCTTATCCTGTCCAAGAGAAGACAAGTACAATTAGTCCTGGTATCACAATTCATAGATTACAAAATACAAATAACCCTCATATGTATGTTGCAAAATAAATATAAATTTATCATACTTTTTAATTTCTCATTTAAATGCACAACTATAAAACTGCTATCTTTTTTCTGTAAATATATGTATTTGATATAAGCATACATGATTTCCCAGCATTTTATCCCGCCTGTCTTCGGTCGTGTCTGGATGATCGGGGTGGGTTTCCCCGTGCTTCCTGTGACTTTTGTCTCCACGGTCCATTGAACTGTAAGGGGGTGGACCACTGGACATTGTATCCATGTGTCCGGCCAGTTTATCTGTACGGTCGTAGGCATCATTCTGACCGTCCGCATCTAGTGTAACAAAATCAATGGCCTCAAAGTCAACTTCTTACAAATATTTCACCTAAATGATCAGTTATAATAATGGTTTACCATTCCTATTTCAAGTTTGTAGACTCTCATAAAAGGTAAGAATAATTCATATTTTTCAATTTTTTTCCTGTATGATAACTAAATAAGTAACTTAAGTGATCCCATCAACAATTACATTTTAATTAAGACCTTTTCCCTTTGTAGTGCCCCCCTCCCCCTTAAAAAAAAATGAAATTGTTTCCTTTGGACCTCCTAGGTAATTGACTTGCTAGGCCAGAACTAGGTCGGCTACTCACTATGCCTGATGATGTGACCCTCGGCGTCCCTTGGCATACGGAAACTGTTCCCCAGGCCACGTCTCTCGACCTTCACCTTAGGACGGTCTATCAAGTCCTCCTGTTCTCGGATCTGTTTCTGAGTTCGTCCCGAGTACCGGAACCTCGAGTTAAATCGCGGAATCAGGGTCCCTGTACTGTTGTTCTCTGGCTCCTTTAATCTGCCATACAGAAAATATTTAAATATATGGTGAATTCATAGAAGTTGTAAGAGCAATCAACACCACAGTGTTTTGACATGTAACAAACCAACACTAGAATGCAATATCACTGTGTTTGGATGTAATGTTATTCAGAGATATAAATTCTTACTTATACACCTTTATTAGTGTTTATATTTAAATTATAGTAAATATTTTTCATTGAATTTGCTTTGGCAACTATATTTAGTTTGTATTTTAACAAACCTGAAGAAGGTGTGATGTTCTACACAAGTTTTCCATAATCTTTTGGCTAATTTATGTGAATCTAATTTAAAACATAATGTTGTTTCTTGTTCCCCCTGCAACGAAAAGAACATTGATCCTATCAAAACAAATTCACTTTTAATTATCAATAATTCCTTTTCCGTTAAACTGAATTTTATGCAATGATAAAATGAACCAATAATAACCTCAGATGGTCGGATTTTGATGTAGAAGTTGTTTCTTTTATATGTAAGTTTGATGATTTTGGGCCAGACGAATCGGTTAATTCGGAGTTTGTCTCTGTAGAGCTGTATCCCACTAGAACACACCCCCAACATAACCACCTGGTTCTGGGAATCCTGCAATGGTTAAAGGTCAAATCAACACAATGTTTCGGAATTCATTTTCATCACGATCAAATACATATACTGTAAGTTGAGTTGTTTAACATTTTCTCTAAACATATTTATGTATTTTTGGTAAGGTCTACATATTCCACATTTAAAGAAAATCACTTCAAACTTCACTAATCTATTTCTGTGCTATAGTTGCTGTGTTGTACACAGTTATTTACCCTTGCTTACTTATAACAATCCCTCACTAATCTCTTTCTGTGCTATAATGCTGCACTGTACACAGTGAGTTATCTACCTTTGCTTTGTGCAGATCAACACCGTACATGGCAAGTTTCTTTGCATTTTCCAGGAAATTTAATTCTGCCTCCTCAGGAGTCTGTCCCCTGATAACAAAATCAAAACATTAGTTAAGTACACATAATCAAAACAGAACATTACCACTGTTAAGTACACACTGATTCTAAACAATGAAATAACCAACAACTGTAAATATCTAATCAAGTACAACTTATTTATGTATTATAAGTCACAATTACTTGTGTGTTTTGTGTAGTTCGTGTATTTTGTGACAGCTCTGGTCTATATGTATTATTGGTGACACTTAGGCAAAAAAAATTAATTTCTTGGTTCTCAGGTCCTCCCTCATCTCTTCCAAGGGTGCCTCATTGACCCTTTTATTGCTAAATCAATAAAATATAAACACCAAATCACCTCCCTCATCATTTTTTGAGGTTTTATACAATGTAAAAAGCTGCCTCATCATGTTTTGGGGGCAATAAAAAAGAAAAAAAATGCCTCCCTCCCTCATCATATTTCTTGAAAAAAAGGCCTGAGAACCAAGTTATTAACTTTGCATGGCCTTACTTGTGTGTTTTGTGTAGTTCGTGTATCTTTTGTGACAGCTCTGGTGTCTGCTGTGGAGCGAAATCGAAAGCTTTGAGATATTCATCATCAGGTCCATCCTCCTGGGGGTCGTAATCCCCGATCTCAGCTTGTACTGTGTAGGACCCCAGGATAGCGTGGGTCATAAACGAGCAGGGTAATCTACAATGAATAGAATAGAGACATAGCATGGGTCATAAATGAGCAGGGTAACCAATGAATGATCAGAATACAGACTCATTCAGTAAATAACTGTAACAGATTAAAAAATAATAATATTAACTTACTTTCCATTGTAAATATCTGCCCTGATCTGTAAACAAATCTGGTATCTGAAATGAAATTAAAAGATACACAGTTGTATCGAGGATTTCATATAGAGGCTCAACAAAGACAGAGATGATACATCTCTGAAAACTGTAATTTATTTTGATAAATACCAGAGAAAAATTCTAAAATTTAATTAGTGACTGTTTTAACTAGCATAAAATTGGGACATTAAATTTACATAGCTGATGATGTTTCGTTGAAAGTTCAAAAGTCTATGAATACTATACTTTAAGAATATCAAGGAAAGATTAAATACAGTATACTATCCATCATCTATCAGATTAATTCAACAAGTCGCAATCCTACCTTGTTATGTCTTCATGAAGGTGGGAGGGCTCTGGGGGATAAAATTTGACAGCGAACTCAAAAACCCATGTCCCACCTGTAAACAGATAAACAAAGTATGAACATAAAAATTAAAACATTGTGATCCTAAATCATATCAATATAAACTTATATATTACAGAAGACTTTGGTGGAATTTCCTCTTTACCAAAAATGACTGTTTTTCATCAATGTCTTTATGAAGAGTTGTCCTTGTATCTAATTTTATAAGGACAACACAGACTGTGTGACAGGTTTTCATTGATAAAGGCAAGTTCAGTCAGAACAATGAAGAAAACACTTCTAACACACTACCAGGTACTTACTTTTCACCTGCTTTGAAATTTTCTTCTCAAGGTTTAGCCAATACTGTGATTAAAAAAAAAGATTTAAATTAAAACAGAAACATACACTAGTATAACTGTTACATAATATGACAGTGTAAATAAAAACATGAACAAAGGACTGAGTTACAAACTCTTTATCATAAAAATCACAATATCATTTAAACTGCTGCTGTAATTGATCAACAATCCTAAAATAACTGATTAACTCTACATGTAACAACGCATTTCTTTCAAACACTATCTAAATCTTTAAAATGATGCACGTTATTTAGGAAGCATCTTAGTATGCTGATTGATAGTTTAACAAATAGGTTTATGTTCAAATTTACAATTAGTTCATGTTCAAGTTAACAATTAGCCCATGTTCAAGTTAACAATTAGTTCATGTTCAAGTTTACAATTAGTTTATGTCCAGGTTTACAATTAATTCAATTACCTTTACATCTTGAGCACCGGTGTATGTCAGACCAAAATATTCTTTTTCACTTATGTTCAACTTTTTACAAACTTCTTCAAACAATTCACTTCCCTCTGCATTCCTCTACAAATCATAAAAATCATCAGACATATATTCTGAAGGTAACAATCAATTTAAAAGGTAAATTTACTTTTTTTTAAGCAGGTAATATTCCTAATAAGAAAGAGCATCCCAAGCATCTTCCATATTGACTGAAGAAATTTCAAGGTAAGAGTTATTCCTCTTCTCTATACATGTACTTTGCTACACAGGGATTTTTAGACTAGTGTTTTCATGTAACAGGGGGAAAAAAATGAGAATGATTGTTGAGCATTGGTGTTGGAGGGGTGAATATAGAAGTCTGGGGCAAGCTAACTCCCCTGAAATTTGTTTCGGATAAGCATTGCTAAAATCTACATCCTGAGAGCTCTTTTTTTCATTTCACAGATCGACACCTCTTGTGAGTTGTGAAGGTGTCTTAATGACAAAACACAAACAATGCCTTGATTTGATCACTTACATTGATGTCGGTTTCGAAGTCGTTGCCGTCTAGAAGGAGAACGCGACACAGCACCATCTTGTTAGATTTATGCTGTGTCGGTTTTACAACCGCGGTTTTTCTACCCTCCTGATTCACAGAATCCTTTCTATCCTGAAAGAAACAATAAAGTATTAAATATCCTTATTTGCAACATTATGTTAAAAAACACTTCCACATCTTCAAAGGAAATGAGAGAGACAATTCATCAGTCCCCATATTGTGAAGGTCACAGAAATTTTAATAGATCCATTGTTGCTTATTCCATACCTGTTATGTATATCAACATGATCAATGATAATTCATCTTAATAAAACACTATATCACAGCCAATGTTGGAATTATACATACAGAATATGATATTTTTGGCCACACTCTGTGAATTTATTTATAATCACAATTCACCTATAATGAAATCAATCAAAGAACACAAAGTGAAAACACACAGTCACTGACAAGTTAATGACCTGATGACTACTGTAAGAATAACTTAATTGATGGTCAAGGAAATAATTAACAATTTGACATAGAAAAACTCCGTTATCAACACAGCGGGGGTTCAATTGTCACTGTAATAGCCTTTGGGGAGAGGCTGGTTTTCTCTCAGAAGACAGACAACTGACAAATTCCTAAAATTCTAACTTTCGCTTCAAGTACAAAGGTCTAATCAATATATCACCACAGTTTCTTGGTGATTTACAATATTTCCCAAAAAGAAACCGTACAGATATGTGTGTAAACAACGCTTGAAGCACTATGAAAGTGGCCTAATGGCCTACCCCGCCATGCCTCAGCAAATTCAAAATAACATAATTAGGTCAGACTCGTCCTAAAAATAACAGTGCTCAAAATAAAAATCAATAGGTATAATTGTTCTGTATTAGGATATTGAGCATAACCGAATCAAAACCTACCGGAAAAACGAATTAAAAATGCCCCTGAATCTCTCTCCCGTTCAAGCGAGCTTGTAGAAAACTATGACATCACAACCTTCCCAAAATTCCAAGCTTCTGTAAAATAAAGGTGAAGGTCTCCACAGGTGGGGGAAATCCAAAACAGGAAAAGTTTTGAGAGAATTAAACGAATACAATTATCTTTATTACAAACAGAGTGAATACTTTGTGAAAAATAGCATATTTATTTGGCATACTATTTATTTAATCACCATTTTATGCACAAAGATTTTTTGAGACTCATCTTACGAACGACCTAGCTAAGAATATCATGACGTCACAGAGCGGGAACTGTCTTTTCTAAAGGTCTTGGATGAGAGAAATGCCACTCACAATTTGCACTAATCTGAGAAGGTTGTCTGATTGGTGAGTAAAAGCATGTGGAAGAAATTAATATATTGATTTCCACTGTACAAATAAACTAGTTGTGGAGAGGGTTAAAAATAAAATATACTGGTCATATAGGTCCATGCTGCCCATGGCACTCACTTCTAGATTTGTGAATAAATGTTTATGTTGTTCAAATAGAAATTAATCTATTTAGGTTAATTAAACTGTGTCATTGGGAAGGTCACCATACACATCATGCAGCAGCAATGTTGTTAAGAGAGTATATAACTAATTGACAGTGTACCATTCTTTATATTGTTTTAGATGAGTGAGGTGTGATATATTATATCAATGTAATTTTTTTGGTTAGAAAAAACTGCAAAACTGCAGCTCTCTGCTTGAGAAAATTCTGATAGATAAAACAGAGGTACAAGTCTACGCTTTTTATCTAGATATTCTCATAATCAACTAATTACTTTAGTTTAGACTTTAAGACCATTTTGATTAAGAAATCAATTTATTATCTTTTACTGTGCATGTAAGTAGATATTAAATACACATGATATTTGGAAGTAATAGTTACAAACCTCAATGTAAGTCATTTTATAAACATCCCAACATATAATGCTATTATTTCTCTACTGTTTGGTGACACTTGTTTTACAGGAAAAACATGTGTTACATAATGTTATCATTGTGCAGGTGCCTCAGGGGAGACAATCATCACTTACAGGTAGAGACAGCATTACCTCCCCTGAGGTGAGAATGACACGAGGAAGCTAGCACACCAAGGTGTTCTTAGAAATCAGAGTGATAAATGTCTTACATTGATAACATATTGTGTGCTACTTGATTTCTCTTTTGTCAGACAATTAACAGGTCATTATAGTTTTATACACTATACAGTAAATTGGAGTAAAATGTGTTGGAAAATCTGGTGCCTTCTTTCCACATTTATACAAGCAGTGAATCTGTTTTATTTTCTTTCAAAGTTTTGAAGTTTTATGTACATAAATTAATTATTTCTTCATTTGTATGCCTAAAAAAATCTTTAACAATCATCATTTTATTGTTTAAAATTTAAATGTTAATGAATTTGTTTTACTTCGATCTACGAGTTTGACATTGTTATCTAATTTAGAATCATTGATATAACACTTACGGTGATTAATGAACATTAATTACTATAAGCCTACTATCAGGAAAGATTGACTATTGACTAAACAATGATCAAAAAATTGAGTCATTGAATTTACGAAGGTCTAAAGTCTTGTTTCTAGTGCAATGTGGAAAAAGGATTTTATATCAGTAATGTTAAAAAGTCTGAATGGAAGAGAGTTATTTTTAACCTCCTTAGATCCTGGTATATGATTCATGGCAGATATAAATTAGATTCTATGATGTTTGTTTTAAGTAGGCAGGGAACCACACAAAACTACACAAAATTCAGAAACAGAAGTCGGCAATAAAAACGGCATCTGGGAAGCCCTTAATTCAGATAAAACTGACAAATAATGAAATCCTTGTGAATTGAATAACTAGAATTCCTGACAGTGTCAGAGTAGGCGTGTCTTCTCAGGTAACACCATTAAAGTGGTCATATTACAGGTGACATAAATACAGACACCTGATTTCAACACCTTACTGTGACCTGATGAGCCCTTGGTCACTGAAGCAGAGCTGAGAGTACTACAAGAATCTGTAGTAGCTCTGGCCATCACATCTGGTTTGTGTAATCTGTCTATTGACTCTGTAGCTGTGTACATTAGTTTATGGGGGTGGTGTATTGATATGAACTCTGAGATCTCTGGTGATTGATGGAGGGCATCCATCTGTCTGTAGCCTTTATCAAGATAAAGATGGATGCAGCCCTTTAATGTCAGGAAACTCAACTCACAGGGATAATGGCCACATTCAGTAAAGTTAGATCTAACTACAACCAACAAAGTATCTTACCAAGACTAGGGGAAATAAAAAGCATAAAACATTTCAACAAAGCACGGAAAAAACATTGCTAAATGCATATCCTGTGTTTTGATGATAGGACAATTTTACATAAAGTTAACCTGAAAACTATTTCTAAATAACTCATTTCAGTGCTATATTACACATCGTTAACCGGTAAACTATTTGTAAATAACTCTGATCTATATTTAATCTGTGTAGAGTTACACAGAGACTGTGATTATGTAGTATCAGAGGCGTATTATACCAGATGAGAGTTAACTTGTATCACAGATTTATATAACTGATATCATGAATTCCACAGAAGCTGGGTTTATTATATAAATGGGTTCATATGCAGGTACATGGATCAGTGATTCAGTTGTATTTTGTCACTGTGCTTAATGTGTTGAAAGTAAACTGGTAACAGATATAGCAGCATATTGAATAGATACCTGCTAATTGTTCTCACAGATCAATCGTATATACATGCTTTCATCAGACATACTGATATCATGGATATAGAAATCTTTTATCATGTTTATCAGGAGTTGATCTCCGAGATTCAGGGTTCATTTAAACTTCAAAGCCTAGAGATTTATAATTATTGGTGCTCCAGGGCCAGAGATTTGTAATAATAAGTGCTCCAGTGCATATAAAAAGGAACATAAAACAAACATCCAACTTTGAAAATTAAAAATACAGGTTTACAGGGAATTCAAAATTATATCCCTAATTCCTTTTTTTTTTTTTTTTGGAGTTTTTAATATGCAACAAAATTATATAATTTGAATTCCTTTAGGCTTTTCCTTTGTGAATGTGATCAGGCAGCAGAATTGGTCTTCAGTTGATTCATCATTAGAAATACCACTACAAAACACCAAAGTCCAAAACCTTTGCATATTTAATTATTTTTATATTTTGCAGAATGTGTGGGACGGACAAACCTGTTTTGTCAGGGACTTGTCTACCTGTGTGAAAACAAAAGCAGAGGGTCCAGAATTCTACAGGTATTCTACACCTTTATACACCTGCATGGTAACAACTTCTGACCAAGTACTATGTTATTGACACATTAATGACTAGAAAAGGATAAGACCAACACAATGCTTTGTCTCAGAAAATGCCCAGTAGATACATGTGTACACATTAAAGCATTAAACTATAGTTTAAGTAGGGAATGATGAATCATCAGAATAAACAGATAAAATAAGGCAAGATGGAGCTGTGAAGATTTAAGAACATTCAGCATACAATCAGAAGTGAAAAACTTAACTGAGAGAGTAAAAATAGAAATCTGAATGTCGGAGAAATCGTAAACCGGCTTACCTTACTGTCCCCACAACTCCAGACACGCGGAATCAATAGATCATACGTAAAACATATTTATCTGGAGCAGCAGTGACTCCGCTACCATAGCACGCTTATAGACGGGGAGATCTAACTGCTGGGGTGATACAGACCCACAGATACAAGATATTATTATGAATAAATACTAGTAGTACATATACAAATGTACTTAGGAAATTAATCCAGAAATCGCACAAATATACTCATTTTATAATTATCAGCAACAGAAACTTGGTGGATGTAAATACTGTAGTTAATTAAGATCACCTCAGACATCGGAGTCAAAGAATCAAAACAAAGCTGATATTTCCCCCGACATCTGAGTTATACGGAATCAATACACACTCTGTATACTCAAGATGATAGGGAAGACTCTCTATAGAAGACACTCCGTAGCTCACACTTTGTCTTGTGGGTGAGTCACAGCAGTGTTTACTTCTGATGAAGGAAGAAAAATCCTAATTTGCATGTTATTTGAATTGCATAGCATGTTTTTTATGAAGTGCATGCAGCGAGATTTATTGTGGGATAAGACTTGTTTGCTGGTTAGGCATCTGACAAGTTGTTTTCTCCTAAAATAAGATGGATTACGTGAAATTAGAAAATAATAGTGTAGTTGTAATAATTCTGTGGAGGTAATCAATACTGTTTAAACAAAACACTTGTAAGGAAAACGATAAGGTGATGAAAACTGACAAAGCTCCCTTTCTGCGTAGTAAGTCTGGCGTAAGATTAGAGAGGGTGTAGATTTTGTCAATTTTCTGCCCCCCTGATTTCTGGGGGCCTCAGATCCCTGTGATTAATGTCTCCAGGTAACAAAAAAAATACAACCTGAATGTCACCCAATACCTTTTAGATGCCAACTGTAAAAATAGACAAGTTTACAACTATATAATTGGCAGTTAAAGATTTAAATGTTGCTAAAATGTCTTCATCGTCTAAAGAAATCTTTTTAGATAATTAGAAGCATATGGGTTATCAGATTTCAGCAGTTTGAAGCACACATTTGCAGTCTTTGTACACCTGTAGAATGCATGTGTAGGCGTCTGTGAGTAAGACCTGATAAGAGTGACATCATAAATATGCAAGTTATAAATATCTCAAATCCATACTTAAAAAAAATAAATTTGAGGGTCCCACACTGCATGTCTCCAGAAATATTTTGCCAATAAAAATTGACAGCATTTTAAACCTGTTTTAGTAAAGGGTGTGGGTGTTTATACAATTGAAATGGACCTCCCTTTTTAGCTCTTTGTTATCTTATAAATTCTCAAGAAATGGAGAACACTGATATAAATGTAGAAGTAATGCAGCTGATATCTGTTAAGAGGCCGGGAAGGCTCTTGTTAACACAACAGTCTAAACCGCATCACTCACATTTAAAGTAATCTTTACATAGAAAACATGTCAAAATATTTAAGTCTTACACATGATGTGTGCCACATAAAGAATTGAGGGGGTTTCTAAGCACTGATGTGTTAGGTATGCTTGGTGAATTTGTTAGAAGAGTAAATAATATGTTGGCTGATGTGTAAGGTATGCTTTGTGAGTTTGTTAGAAGAGTAAATAAAGATGTTAGCTGATGTCTACATCTGTATAGACAGGAGGCTGTGACATTTGTCATATAATGTGTGTCTGTGTGTGATAATCCAAGAATGTCTTCATAAAGGAGACACTGGTCTGACCATCAGTCACCATTATATGGCTCTAAAATCTAATTGTCAGCAACTGACACAATACTGGAATCAAACATGTCAGCAACTGACAGTACATGTATATTGGAATCCATCTGTAAGCAACTGATAAATTAACGGAATTTAAGCAATTGACAAAATACTGGAATCTAACTGACAAAATACTGGAATCTAACTGTCAGCAACTGACAATATATTGGCATCCAACTGTCAGCAACTGACATTATATTGGAATCTGTCAACAACTGATAAAATACTGACATAGATCTAATAGTCAACAGATGACATAATACTGGAACTGTCATCAACTTTAAAAAGAAAACTGGAATTTAACTGTCAGCAAGTTGCTGATTGCTAGAATGACACCATGAAGAATGAAACTGTCAGCAACTTACAGTACTCTAGACACTAAGAATGAAACTGTCAGCAACTAACAGTACTCTAGACACTAAGAATGAAACTGTCAGCAACTAACAGTACTGTAGAATTAAATCGCCAACATTTACTTACAAAACATCTGAACCTATTTGTCAACAACTTACAGAACAGGAATTTAACTCTAAATGACTAACAGTTCTCTAGAATTAAATCATCAACATTTACTTACAAAACATTTGAACCGAACTCTCAACAACTTACAGTACATGTATACTAGAATTAAATTGCAAACAACCTAGTACAGAAACTCACATCTAACATTCAGAAAGTTAGAAACTCAAATCCAGCAGTCAAAAACTTACTAAAACTCCAATCTATTTGTCAAAAACCTTCAAAATACTAAATTTAACTGTCAACAACTTACAGATTACCAAAATTGTCAAAGCACTAGTGTTATTTTTTGAAGTGTAATTGACATGGAATGATAAACTAATCTTCATTAGATGAAATTTTGAAAATTGCAGGTGATCTGATGAGAGAGAAAGAAAGTTGTAAAAATGTGATAGGACTTAGAAGCTGCAAATAGGAAAAAACAAAACAAAAAAGGCACATTAAAACAAAATGAGCTCAGATGAAAATACACATATACAGGAAATTACATGCCAAACTGAAAATGAAATTTGGGAGGCTGGAATCTTTCATACTTATAAGAACAAGGGACTTATTAATGCTATTTACTTTTACAATGTCAAGATATTTGGCATAACTTGTGTAAAAGACCACCATAATCTGAAACGCTGGTATTTTGAGTTCTCTGAAAATCAACATGGACGTTATGTCACACTGGACTGTGAAAATCTTTTATCTTATAAAAGTCTTCGGAATCGGCAAAAACAACGCCTTGAAAACAAGCTAGATCCACCTGGCAAGATCATCCATTATGAAGACCCCAAGAATCCAAGGTCATATTATAAACTTCTGAAGAACTGTTTGTATGGCATTGCTCATATTAAAACAAAAAAGTTTTATTTTAAACCTAATCCTAAAAAATCAATGGGATTTGTAGCTGAAAGTTTCAGGAAGCATGAAATTAAGTCCTGTGTTCAAGAGATAATGTGGAGTGAAGGAATACAACAATACATACACCAATCAATCACTGAAGCCATTGATGGAATTGAGTGATGAGGATGCCAAAGAGGACCACACTGGAATTGAATACATGATTAATGACAGAAGGTGCCAAACTGCCTCCAACAAAACAAAAGAAATCAGCAAGAGACTGGATCCAACCCTGTCTCCTCAGCCATTGACAACCACACCTTTTCCAGTAGATGACCCTCCAGTTACAGTGACTCCACCTGCACCCCATTTGTGTGATACCCAAGAGAAATGGGATTCCCCACAGCAGTCTAAGATCCCTACCGACAGACATGCACCACCTCAATCATTCAATCGTCGTTGTAAAAAGAAGTCAAAATTGAAGAAGTCGTCTGGCAGTTCCTCTTCACAAGAGCTTATAGCACTGTGTACAGAAAGCAACAACCAGTTCCAAGGTATTAATGTTAAAACTGAGGAATTAGATCCTAATAATTACCCAGACAGCAACCAGTAGCAAGGTGGTAATGTCAAAAACTTAGAATTAGATCCTGAGGTTACCTCTCGGATGTCAGATGGTGGATATGTCCCCACAATGTCACCTGAGAACCACCGTGGATGTTCACCATGGAAGTTTGACCGGAAGGCAGACTGGCTGAGCTTCTCCCACCAGGAGCTAAAGACATCTGCATTGAGGGAATCAAGAGTAACAAAGACGAACAGATCCTCCTAAAGATTGACTTCAGAGTTGGACAATAGTGATGATGATTAGTGTTTTCAGTGTATAAACAGAGTTGAACCATTCCTTTGTTTGTGCATATATAACTTTTAAAAAAAGTATTTAATAAATGTTTCTTCAACCCTGTTTATTTAATTTAATAGAGAAACTATGAATTTTAATAAAAAGTAGTTCCTTTTTGAAAGCCTTTTTTTGGCCCCATCATGAACGTGGCTTATAAACCCTGAGGAGGGTATTCATATCTAATTTACATATTTCTAGTTTTCACGTAGTATACAACATGCATACCAGGAGATAGGAGTATTTTACCCTATCTTTGGACTTTCAGTTGGGCGTGACTTTCTCGGTGCTATGTAATGGAGAATAATAGTAGATTCTCATTGGTTACAAAATTAATAACAAAGGAACTTTAATTGTTGTTGATAACGATCAGACGACTTATGCCCCACCTCTGTGCAGTGAGAGAACTTTTAATTGGCTATTTACTACACCAGTTGACATTCGGCCGCATTTCTATCATATGTATATTTCAACAGTGAAGGGAAGCTGTGTAAATTTCAGAAGCTAATTAGGTAATGTCGAGAATGCCACGCCTTACTGAAAGTCCAAACTAAGCGTGTAATTCTTCTAAAAGGATTTTGTTTTGAAGTCTGGAGTTTTATCCAACTCAATACAAATTACCAGGAGGTCTTGTATCCAGAAAGTCTTAATATGTCTATGACATTGTCAGCTCGTTTTTTGATATAAAGACTGGACACTACAGTATTGTTAAGACAACAGACTTTAAACAACAATCAGTCAGGATTAGGGCTGGGCAATAATATCGATATTTCAATATATTGCAATACAATGACAAAAAATATCGTATCGCAATACGATTTTGTAATATCGATATATTGGCAATATGCTTAGATTAAGGAATTTTGTCATTAAATATGAAAATGGACTTTAAAAAGTTTGTTATTAAACCAAACAGTAAGTCAGAAGTTGTTTTTGGGAACATTTCAGAGCATAACTTAAATAATTTCAACAAGATTTTTATTCTGTGTTGGTTACTTATCATAGTTATGTACATTCTGCATGTAAATTAAAGTAAATATAGTAAGAAAATGTCATTTTTATTACATTGAAAATTTTGCAATACATATCGCAATACAGTTAAAAATATCTCAATATATCGCAATACGAAATCTCAGGCCAATACCCAGCCCTAGTCAGGATATAAACATACCTATAGAATCCAGACTGTTAGTTGTTCAATTTCAAAAATATTCTCCTTGTAAAAGATTACAGCTATTGTGATTCATGAAACACTAGAAAACTAGTATTTTAACACGTGTATATCTAATGATGGTATTTGCAGATGATGTGATGAGAGGGAATGCAGTTTACTGAAGAATACAAGAAAAGTGGAACTTACTTTTGAAGCAAAATGAATTTACCCCCCAACATACTGAATGCTGTACAAGTTTGGGACTCTTGGGCTGAGTCAAGAAAGAGGAACGCGGATGACCCAGTGATTCCACTGTGTAAAGATCTCCAGACAATCGGGCCTCAGCAATTCAGCACTATAATATCTAAGTTTGTGATGGAAGTGAAAGTGAAAAAAAAACCACTCTCAAAATATATTACCAGAATCCTTTCAAATATCCAGCAATATCTCGACAAGCAAGAAAATAGTAATGCTTTATTTGGTAATTATGAGCTGTTTAATAGCAGAGTGAAAGAGATCATAGCACAAAGAATTGCTATTAAATATAACTTTTTATCTGAAAGCACGGAAAAGCAGTTGTGGCATGATGCTGTTATGGATCACAAATCTAATGGAGGACTCAGCTACGCAATTTTCTTTTACAATGTTAAGATATTTGGCATCACTTCTGCAAGGGATCATCAAAATCTGAAACCTCATTTCTTCACATTCTCTGAAAATGCACATGGACAATATGTCTGGCTGAATTGCACTATGCTTTCATCTTATGAAACTATTACGTCCCTGACAAATAAGGGCAACACACCCTGTAAGATCATTCATTATGAAGATCCAGAAAATCCAAGGTCATATTACAAACTCCTGAAGAGGTACTTGGATGCCATAGCTAAAAATGATAAAAGTAATTTCTACTTCAAACCATGTTCTAAAAACCGTAATGGATTTACAGATGAGGCTTTTGGAAAGAAAAGTATTGCTTCCTGCATTTGTGAGATGATGAGGACTGCAGGTTATAGAAATCAATACAACAACCAATCACTGAGACCTTTAATGGACTTTGGTGGGAAAGATGCTAAAAGTGTGTGCAATGGATATGAATATATGTGTTTTGCTAGGAGAACATATTACACCCACAGAATACTTAAAGAAATCAGCAAAAAATTGGATCCACCAATGCCCCCCGAGCCCTTAGATCCTGTAGTCACCTTGGCTTCTCTTGCACCCACTTCTACTGAAGAGGACAGGACTGTTCCTCAGCAACATAAAATCCTTAAAAGTAGGCATGCACCACCTAAATCACTAAATCCTCCTCCTCAAAAATGGCTGCGTATTGAGGAGCCATCTTGCACTAATCTTTCTCGGGATCTGGAGGTACCCCCAGTCAAAACGAAAGACCCCAACCAGTCAGGAGGGGTTACTGTAAAGACTGAAGTGTCAGATTACAACAATAACCCAGAAGCCACCTCTCAGGAATGTTTCCTGCTGGATACATCTCCACAATGTCACCTGAGAACCACTGTGGATGTCCATCATGGCAGTTTTAACTTCAGACTGGCTGAGCTTCTCCCACCAGGAGCTAAGGACGTCTGCATCGAGGGGACCAAGAGTGATACAGAGGAACAGATCCTTCTGAACATTGATTTCAGAGTTGGGTGATTGTAGATTCTTTATTCACCAGAAGTCACCGTTGTATGTAAGCAGTGGAATAGCATGTGAACTAAGTTTGTGTACATATAAAAAAAAATGTTTAAAACATAATTTTTCATGAATGTTCCTTCAATCCTTTGTTATTACTTTGATCAAGCAATCAGAATGTACTTCGTATTCATGTAATAATCAAAGTTTTGTATAAGAGAAAAGTCACCTATGACTGTTGGCCCATTTGGCTCATATTTGATTTTTTAAATAAATGTTTTTGTTTTTTTTCTGTCAGCTAATGAATTGAACAGCTGCAATTAATTTTTTTCGGTAAAAGATTTTATGCATGATTATATTTTTTGTAATAGAAAGGAGTTCAATGAAGAAACTATTCACTTTTCTGTAATCAATGTTAGAGCATATGCTTTATTGTCATTAATTTTAGACTTCACTTCATTGTCATTAATAAGAGAGTACATATTGTATACACTTTTTTGTAAATACTTTAAGAGTACACTTATTGTTATTTATTTTGAAAATATCCTTTTTTTATCATTTGTTGGAGACTGCATCTAAGTATAGATAATTTGAAAATATTGTTTTAATATTGTGATTATTCTTTTGTTAGGTAAATTAGAAACTGACACTGCTATTTTTCATGAGTTAGATACTTGAATTTTACTTAATTGTGGAAGACTGAATGATTGTTTGTTCTGTTATGTCCCTCTTTATAATTTTTCATTCATATAAAAATGCCATCACTTACTATTTACTTCACAACTCTAGAGCTAACAGGACTCTAACCACTGCGCCACTCAGGTGACTTAAACACAGTACAAAAATGCCATTTATTGCACATTGCAAATCAACAGCCCATGCATTGCTTAAATTGACTTTTACTTTAAATTTGGGTGAAGGTTGAGAAATAAAAAATGGCATACCTTGCATAATGTTACTTGGTCAATGTATGTGCTTGATTTGTTCAAGTTTTTATTTACACATTTGGTTTAGTTTGGGTAGGTTTTGAAGATTCTAATTTGAAGATAACAAATAGTTTCAAGCTAAAAGTCCATTTAAACCCTGGGTGGAATAAATAATACAAATGTGCATTCTTTTAGCAAACATGGACCTAATGTTAACTTGGTACTATGGAGGAGTTAATGTTTATACTGGTGTTGTTAAAGAAGGTCAACATGATTGGGGAGGTTCTGGTGTTGTTAATGGTCTAACATGAAGTTGTATGATTGGGAGGTTCTGGTGTTGTTAGGTTAAGACTTATGATTGGGAGGTTTGGTGTTGTTAAGACAGACATGATTTAGGAGGTTCTGGTGTTGTTAGGTTAAGACAGACATAATTTGGGAGGTTCTGGTGTTGTTAAGACAGACATGATTGGGGAGGTTCTGGTGTTGTTAAACAGACATGATTGGGGAGGTTCTGGTGTTGTTAACAGACAGAATGATTGGGGGTTCTGGTGTTGTTAGGTTAAGACAGGTGATTGGGGAGGTTCTGGTGTTGTTAGTTCTGGTGTTGTTAAGACAGACATGATTGGGGAGGTTCTGGTGTTGTTAGGTTAAGACTGACATGAAGACTGACATGATTGGGGAGGTTCTGGTGTTGTTAAGACAGACATGATTGGGGAGGTTCTGGTGTTGTAAGGTTAAGACAGACATGATTGGGGAGGTTCTGGTGTTGTTAGGTTAAGACAGACATGATTGGGGAGGTTCTGGTGTTGTTAAGACAGACATGATTGGGGAGGTTCTGGTGTTGTTAAGACTGACATGATTGGGGAGGTTCTGGTGTTGTTAGGTTAAGACAGACATGATTGGGGAGGTTCTGGTGTTGTTAGGTTAAGACAGACATGATTGGGGAGGTTCTGGTGTTGTTAGGTTAAGACAGACATGATTGGGGAGGTTCTGGTGTTGTTAGGTTAAGACTGACATGATTGGGGAGGTTCTGGTGTTGTTAGGTTAAGACAGACATGATTGGGGAGGTTCTGGTGTTGTTAGGTTAAGACAGACATGATTGGGGAGGTTCTGGTGTTGTTAGGTTAAGACAGACATGATTGGGGAGGTTCTTGTGTTGTTAGGTTAAGACAGACATGATTGGGGAGGTTCTGGTATTGTTAGGTTAAGACAGACATGATTGGGGAGGTTCTGGTGTTGTTAGGTTAAGACAGACATGATTGAGGAGGTTCTGGTGTTGTTAGGTTAAGACAGACATGATTGGGGAGGTTCTGGTGTTGTTAAAACAGACATGATTGGGGAGGTTCTGGTGGTGTTAGGTTAAGACAGACATGATTGGGAAGGTTCTGGTGTTGTTCAGACAGACATGATTGGGGAGGTTCTGGTGGTGTTAAGACAGACATGATTGGGGAGGTTCTGGTGTTGTTATTAGAACAGACATGATTGGGGAGGTTCTGGTGTTGTTAAGGACATGATTGGGGAGGTTCTGTTAGGTTAAGACAGACATGATTGGGGAGGTTCTGGTGTTGTTCTGATTGGGGAGGTTCTGTTTGTGTTAAGACAGACATGATTGGGAGGTTCTGGTGTTGTTAGGTTAAGACAGATGATTGGGGAGGTTCTGGTGTTGTTAAAACAGACATGATTGGGGAGGTTCTGATGTTGTTAGGTTAAGACTGACATGATTGGGGAGGTTCTGGTGTTGTTAAGACAGACATGATTTATCAGGTTCTGGTGTTGTTAAGACAGACATGATTGGGGAGGTTCTGATATTGTTAGGTTAAGACAGACGTGATTGGGGAGGTTCTGGTGTTGTTAAGACTGACATTATTGGGAGGTTCTGGTGTTCTTAAGACAGACATGATTGGGAAGGTTCTGGAGTTAAGATAGGCATGATTGGGGAGGTTCTGGTGTTGTTAGGTTAAGAAAGAAATGATTGGGGAGGTTCTGGTGTTGTTAAGACAGACATGATTGGGGAGGTTCTTAAGACAGACATACAGACATGATTGGGGAGGTTCTAATGTTGTTAAGACAGACATGATTGGGGAGGTTCTGGTGTTGTTAGGTTAAGACTGACATGATTGGGGAGGTTCTGGTGTTGTTAGGTTAAGACAGACATGATTGGGGAGGTTCTGGTGTTGTTAGGTTAAGACATTATGGGGAAGGTTCTGGTGTTGTTAAGACAGACATGATTGGGAGGTTCTGGTGTTCTTAAGACTAACATGATTCCGAAGGGTCTGGTGTTGTTAGGTTAAGACTAACATGATTGAGGGAAGTTCTGGTGTTGAGACAGAATGATTGGGGAGGTTCTGGTGTTGTTAGGTTAAGACAGACATGATTGGGGAGGTTCTGATGTTGTTAAGACTGGCATGAATGGGGAGGTTCTGGTGTTGTTAGGTTGAGACAAACATGACTGGGGAGGTTCTGGAGTTGTTACAACAGACATGATTGGGGAGGTTCTGGTGGTGTTAGGTTAAGACAGACATGATTGGGGAAGTTCTGGTGTTGTTAGGTTAAGACAAACATGATTGGGGAGGTTCTGGTATTGTAAGGTTAAGACTGACAGGATTGGGGGGTTCTGGTGTTGTTAAGACTGACATGATTGGGGAGGTAGGTTAAGACAGACATGATTGGGGAGGTTCTGTTGTTAAGACTGACATGATTGTTGTTAAAGACAGACATGATTTGGGAGGTTCTGGTGTTGTTAGGTTAAGACAGACATGAATGGGGAGGTTCTGGTGTTGTTAGGTTAGACAGACATGATTGTGGAGGTTCATGATTGGGGAGGTTCTGGTGTTGTTAGGTTAAGACAGACATGATTGTTAGGTTAAGACTGACATGATTGGGGAGGTACTGGTGTTGTTAGGTTAAGACAGACATGAGGTTCTGGTGTTATTAAAACAGTTGTTAGTGTTGTTAAGACAGACATGATTCGGGAGGTTCTGGTGTTGTTAGGTTAAGACTGACATGATTGGGAAGGTTCTGGTGTTGTTAAGACAGAATCATTGGGGAGGCTCTGGTGTTGTTAGACAGTGATTGAGGAGGTTCTGGTGTTGTTACAGACATGATTGGGGAGGTTCTGGTGTGTTAGTTAAGACAGACATGATTGGGGAGGTTCTGGTGTTATTGTTAGGTTAAGACAGACATGATTGGGGAGGTTCTGGTGTGTTAGGTTAAGACATGATTGGGAAGGTTCTGGTGTTGTTCAGACAGACATGATTGGGGAGGTTCTGGTGTTGTTAAGACAGACATGATTGGGGAGGTTCTGGTGTTGTTAACACAGACATGAAGACAGACATGATTGGGGAGGTTCTGGTGTTGTTAGACAGACATGATTGGGGAAAACAGGCATGATTGGGGAGGTTCTGGTGTTGTTAAGACTGACATGATTGGGGAGGTTCTGGTGTTGTTAGGTTAAGACAGACATGATTGGGGAGGTTCTGGTGTTGTTAGTTTAAGACAGACATGATTGGGGAGGTTCTGATATTGTTAGGTTAAGACAGACGTGATTGGGGAGGTTCTGGTGTTGTTAAGACTGACATGATTGGGAGGTTCTGCTGTTGTTCATACAGACATGATTGGGGAGGTTCTGGTGTTAAGACAGACATGATTGGGGAGGTTCTGGTGTTGTTAGGTTAAGACTGACATGATTGGGGAGGTTCTGGTGTTGTTAAGACTGACATGATTGGGGAGGTTCTGGTGTTGTTAAGACTGACATGATTGGGAGGTTCTGGTGTTGTTAAGACTGACATGATTGGGGAGGCTCTGGTGTTGTTAAGACTGACATGATTGGGAGGTTCTGGTGTTATTCATACAGACATGATTGGGGAGGTTCCGGTGTTAAGACAAACATGATTGGGGAGGTTCTAGGGTTACGACAGACATGATTGGGGAGGTTCTGGTGTTGTTAGGTTAAGACTGACATGATTGGGGAGGTTCTGGTGTTGTTAAGACAGACATGATTGGGGGGGTTCTGGTGTTAAGACAGACATGATTGGGGAGGTTCTGGTGTTGTTAGGTTAAGACTAACATGATTGGAGAGGTTCTGGTGTTGTTAGGTTAAGACAGACATGATTGGGGAGGTTCTGGTGTTGTTAAGACAGACATGATTAGGGAGGTTCTGGTGTTGTTAGGTTAAGACAGACATGATTGGGGAGGTTCTGGTGTTGTTAGGTTAAGACAGACATGATTGGGGAGGTTCTGGTGTTGTTAGGTTAAGACAGACATGATTGGGGAGGTTCTGGTGTTGTTAGGTTAAGACAGACATGATTGGGGAGGTTCTGCTGTTGTTAGGTTAGGTTAAGACAGACATGATTGGGGAGGTTCTGCTGTTGTTAGGTTAAGACAGACATGATTGGGGAGGTTCTGCTGTTGTTAAGACAGGCATGATTGGGGAGGTTCTGGTGTTATTAAAACA